AATATAAGATCTTAAACTTTAACTAATAAGAGTAGCAAAGATAGGCGCAATAGAGTATTGCCTATTCTAAAAGGAATATAATATAAATATCACTAAGGCAGAATAAAATGCATCAGATAAATAATAATAACTCTTAAAGGATAATTCAGATAATTAGACTAAGATATTAAATAAATAAAATAGGTTGCCGCAAAGGAATCTAATAAACGACTTAAGAATATATTACTAGAGTATTATATTTATAAGAAATTATTTTAAGAGGAACTAGATACTAAGTTACCTTAATATATAGACTATAATATTAAAATTATATTAAAAGATAGAAAAAACCTGAAATTCTTCCCTATTTATAACCTATCTTAAGATAAGCTTGATATGCCTAGAGAATAGTTAAATAATATACTATGAAAAGGATATATTAGACTATCTAAATCCTTAGCAGGATATCTAGTTATATTTATATTAAAACCTAATTTAAATAAGCTAAGACTTATAGTAGATTACTAATAACTTAATAAGATTATAGAAAAAGATAGGATACTACTACTACTTATCACTGAACTTAAGGACTGCCTATTTAGTAAGAAATAGTTTATAGTACTTAATCTTAAATCTGCTTATAACCTTATTTAAATTAAAGAAGGCAATAAATAGAAAATAGCCTTTTAAATAAAATATAGACTATTTAAATATTTAGTTATGCCTTTTAGATTAACTAATATACCTATAGTATTCTAATATATAATTATAAATATACTTTAAGAGCACCTTAATATCTTTATAATCTACTACTTAGATAATATCCTTATCTTCTTTAATATAGAAGAAGAGCATATAAAATATATTTATAAGGTTCTTAAAGCACTATAAGATGCTAATATGCTTATTAAACCTACTAAAAGTCACTTCTATTAGTCTTAAGTAATATACTTAGGATATAAAATCTTATATAATGAAATCAGAATAGATAGATAAAAGATTATAGCAGTTACTAAATAGAAACCACCTATATTAGTAAAAGAAACCTAATCCTTCCTAGGATTTACTAACTACTACTAATAATTTATTAAAGGTTTTAGTAAAATCGCTATTCCTCTTACCGAGATTACTAAAAAGGATAAATAATTCTAATAGAATAATAAGGCATAATAAGCTTTTAAATAGCTTAAATTAGCTATTATAAGTAAACCTATTCTAGTTATATTTGACCCTAATAAATAAGTTAAACTTAAAACCAATACTTCTAACTTCGCCTTAGGAGGATAAATAGGATAATAAGATAATAATAATATATTATACCTTATTGCTTTTTATTCTTATAAGATATATAAAGCAGAACTTAACTACCTTATCTATAATAAAGAATTCCTAGCTATTATTAACTGCTTTAAGGAGTTTAGATATTACCTTAGAGGAAGTAAGTACCTAGTAAAAGTCTTTACTAATTATAAGAATATAGCTTACTTTATAGTAATATAAGAGCTAAACTAATAATAACTACACTATATAGAATACCTATATGAATTTGATTTTACTATAATATACTATAAAGGCATAAATAATAGATATATAAACGCCATTAGTTAATAACCTGACTTTAATACAGGGACTATAAAAATAAAAAAATAACTCCTAGAATTTAACCCTAAAGGAGAATACCAGTTTACTTAACCTATTAAAATAATTGCAAGAATAATAAAAGGAATAAAATTCCTATTAAACAAAGAATATAACTTCCTTTGCGAATTTTATTTATATCTGCTATATAGATACCAAGGTATTAAGAAAACAGTAAAACGACTATAAGACCAAGGATATAAGTTTATAAAAAGGGATATAGAAAATATTATTAAATAATATAACCTCTGTATAAGAATAAAAGCCTAGAGATATAAACTATATAGATAACTATAACCACTACCGGTAGTATAATAACCTTAGGACTTAATTATAATAGACTTTATTATGAAGTTACCCTTATTAGAAGAACCCTTAATTAAAATCTTTTATAATAGTATTATAGTTATTATAGATTAACTTATAAAATTTTCCTATTATCTACCCTATAGAGAAGCAATAGATATAAAAGAACTTTCTTATATTTTTTACTAATATATTATTAGTATATATAGGTTATCTATAGAAATCCTTTTAAATAGAGGACCTATATTTATAATAATATTTTAGTAATTACTTATAGCACGACTTAGACTAAATTACTAACTTATAATAGCATTTTAACCGCAAGTCAATAGATAAACCAAACAAATAAACCAAGTACTTAAATAATATCTATAGTATTATATTAACTATAAACAGAATAATTAGGTTAAGAAACTACTAATAGCCTAACTTACTTATAATACTATATATAATAAAAGCATAAAGCTTATACCAGCTTATGCTAATTTTAGATTTATACTAAATGCATATTATAATATATAATAAGAAAAATCAATTAACCTAGCCGCTATACTTAAAAGTAATAATCTTAAAAATCTATATAAAGAAATAAAAATAGAACTTGAATTTATTAGAAAATAAATAAAAAACTACTATAACCTAAAATGATTAAAGGGATTAACCTTTTCGGAGGGGGATATGGTCTACCTAGCCATAAAAAACATTAAAACAGACCAATTAATATATAAATTAGACTATAAATTTATTAAATCCTATAAAGTACTATAAAAAATCTCAGAAAATAACTATAAACTAGATCTACTACTAAGAGTTAGACTTTATCTGACCTTTTATATTTTATTACTTAAATTAGCAGTAGATATAATATAAGTTAAAACAGGCAATAAACCACGAGAAATCTTAGGACTAGAAGTCTATAAAGCAAAAGCTATCAGAGATATATACAAGGTCAATAGTTAAAGAGAATACTTAATAAAATAGAAAGACTACCTAGAAAACAAAAATATATAGGAATTACTAAAATACCTTATTAATACCTAACGACTCCTAAAGAAGTTCTATCAGAAATAGCAGGATTAACAAAAGGAATATCCACTAAAATAGAATTCCAGTTAATCAAATCTACAGCACTGTAAGATTAAGCTTTAGAAATAATTAACAACTCCGCCTAATTAATAGAAAAACTACCCTGCTCTTCTAAGGATTATATTCTATAAGAAAATAACTTATTACCCTGCTCCTTAAGATGACGCTTTATCTTATAAATATAAGTAAGATATACTATAGCCTTTTTAAGAGCCTCTTCGGCTTTTCGTTTATCTTCTTCTAACTTTTTACGCTCTCTTATATTTTTTAAAACTACTAAAATCAGCATAAGAACTAACAAGGCAAGAAAAAAACTTACAAAAAGAAGCAATACCAGAATTATTACAAACCACTTTCACATCTACACAATTACCGCAATAATAGGATTATTTATTAACAGCCTTATATATAAGACTATAACAGAAGCAACAGGAATACGGCATAATAAAATTACTAAAATCATAAATATACTATGCAAAAGCACTAGACTTAGAAGTTTTTATATATTTCTTCTTAGAAACCTAACCTAATATAATAATTAGTAAGATATACGCAAATAAAAATAAGTCTAAGTTAATACTTATAAGTATAAACTAATAGAAATAGCAAGTAAGTATAGTCTTAGGGATAAGACCTAAGAGAGGGGAGAGATTATATTATAACCCTCGCGGTTATGTTATATATATCCTATAAATTTCCCTATAAATCTTACTAATTATAACTGGACTAAACAGATCCTTCTTAGTCTATTTACTTCGACCAGTTACAATAAGACCAAAGTATTGCAATAATGGTCTAGGACTAAAAGGATAATATCTTAGTCCTCAACGAAAGTACTACTAAGTACCCTTATAATCAAGTATATATATATTTATTTAGCATTAGATAGAACTTAGCTTACTAGCTATTAACTAAAACTTCTTTATATTAATTAAGCCTAATATGCATTAAATCTACCATTAAGAGACGTGATACTTCGATAAGCTTAGCATCACGCCCTATGTAATTTGCCAATAATAAACCTAGCACAGCTTAGTTTATCCACAGTTGGGAACCAACCGTCACATAATTAATTAAATAAATATTAATATGCAGATAGTAGCCAAATTATCAAGAAGTGGTAATTAAGGAAGGTCAGAGTAATCAGGTAGTCGGCGCTATAGTATATATAATAAGGGCAGTTATAATGCCAGGACTTATCAGGTAGTTCTTAAGTTATCTAAGGAGGAATTTAGTAAGTAAAAGCTAGCCTTTTTAAACTGCAGCTTAAGCTTTCGAGCTATAGGTTAAAAAGGTTAAGGAAAGTGATCTACTTACTTGGATAACCTACTTACTTATTAACCACGTTAAGTGGTATTATAATAATTTAAATACTTAATTTTATATAACAGCCTTGAAGCTGTAGTACTTATAATATTTATATATTAATCTATACCATTGCATTAAGAGATTCAACAAGGTCTATTTCAAAGCCAAGGTAGTAGTGGATCTGATCTGTATTCCATGGGGTATGGACAATGCTAAGCAAGTCCATAAATGACTTACCTCCTTTGCGATAGTCAATGAAGTAGCTTCCTCGTCTCTCTTATACGTTTCTCTTAAGGGCATGTAAGCTATGATTATGTACCAATGGTCTTTTAAACGCACCTAAGGGGGTAACGTCCGACTTTGTCTCTATGCAATAAGGCCAACTATAGGTTCTACAAGGTCTTATATATGGTTAAGCTAGTACTAATGCGCAATTCGCCAGCCCTGAAATACCATCACGCTAATAGGCACTAACCCAACGCCTTTAATACAAGGTCTCTCTAAGCCTCCTAAAGAGATTATTTACACGAGTCAGTCTGTCAAACAATTGAAGCCTGCTTTCTACAACTGCGGGCAATGGAATAGGTAGCCTTCGCTTAAGTAGCCGCCTAATGAAAAAGAAAAACAGCCTCTTTAGGCCTTGGAGATAGCTTTAAACTGAAGGGCTATAACAAGAAGTGACCTCACAGCAAGAAGATACATGACGCGAAGACGTAGCCCAAAAAGAAGAGGTGCACGTTAATTCGAAGCTCAGGAAGAAGAATTAGCCCAAAAAGAAGAAGACATGGCTCCGCGAGATAAAGCGCCGCATCAAGACGTTGATCAGCAAAAAGAAGTGGCATGGCGACCGCCATGACAAGGCTTGGAACCCTCTTGTCTACCATAGTATCGCGGATTGCTGCCAACACAAGAGTCTTGGTAGAAGTGTTGGAACGGAGACGACCATAGCGAGATGACTGTTCGATCTCGGCAACTTGGCTCATAGTTTGATAGGAGGTCTTTTCGCCCGGATGTGAGTCCGTATGATTGAATAGTTCTAAATCAAGATCTGTCATTGGTTTCCAAGATGATCCTGCGGGTTGCTGATCAACCGATGGGCTCTGGATATTAAGTGCAGAAGGGGTCGCATAGTCTGATGTCAAATGAAAGGACTCTGAAATCGCTCTCCGAATGGTTTCGGGGCTAGGCATAGAGGGATTGTCGACATGAGAATGGGCATCTATGGTGCCAAAAGGTAATCCCGGGGATTTCTGTCCAACAAACGCCATTTTGCTATCCGTCTCTTTGAGCTGTAGTGACGATGCTGAACCTTGGATCTCCTCTTGTGTATGAAGTCCATCGTAGTCTTGGAAAGTAATCTGAATAGGGGATCCAGGAAACGATGCTGGAGGTGAGTCACATAGTGACTCGGTATACTCGAGAAAACGTTTCATTGCAAAATCGGCCTCTGTTCCATACCATTCGGAGCCTTTACACCCTGCCACACTAGCCAATTCGAAGCGATCGTTATCTAAGGCTTGCAACCTTGATTTGATGTCCCTGAACTCCTCTTTAAAGTCTAATTCGAATCTTTTGGTACGTTCATTCAACGATGCAATGGTAGAACTAAGGGCATGGAAGTTAGAAAAAAGAATAACCGCTCATGTGTACTCACTGTCACGGCGCACTTACAATGTCATCGCGCTCAACGCCATATCCAATGAAACTTTATATGTCGTAATAGTATCCCGGAACAGTTGGATCTCCTTGTCTTTAAACGCCCACGCCATCTGCTTCCAGACTCGAACTTGAATGGTCCCATCTCTTGAGGTCTGAGTGAAACCCTGTAATAAGGCAGTGAACTCGTCGAATATGCTCAAGCAGTTCTCCAAGGGCGCTTTTAAGCTGACGCAGAGGGCAAGGTGACTGGACAACCTATCTTGGACATTTGTGATATGGGCAAGGATCTCATACAAGGCTCTCAAATCGGTGGAGAGCGCGGCAATGTCCTTTGGGGCATTTTGAAGGGAGTCAATAAATTCGTAAAGTCGCTTAGAGCCATGTAGCAGTGCGCCTACAATGCCAACGACACTCGCTGTCACAGAAAGCGGATCAGACATTGCAGAAATGTTTGCTTGGCAAGAAAATGTTAAGAGTTGGGGGGAAGATTTTGTTACCGTTTGTTATTTCTTTTTCAGCCCCAGACATGGATTAATAGGTATTTACCTTACTAGAATAATATGCACAATGACGTGTAATTGTTCTGCTTCTAATTGGCTGTTGGTTATAAACGTCCTTCAGTATGTAACGGCTGCACCTAACCATTACGCCATGAGGCAAAAGATTGGCTAATAACTGCTATTGTAGCAATTACAGTGGTGCATACAGCTGCTTATAGAAGCCTTACAGCGCTGTTACGGGCACGAATCGTAACACAGTATGCCTTATTAAGGCCGATCAATATGTAGTCTAGGAGCCTTATTAAGAGCCTTGTTAGGTTTTTATGTATAAATAGCTAATTATAAGAGTATTATAATATTATAAATAATTCCTCTTATTTTCTTTTTCAAAAAAAATTATATAACTTTAATAAAATTATTAATAATTCTTTTAATATTTCTTTAAACTTATATTTAAAGTGTTAACTTTATTATAAATTAAATTCTAAAGCCTATAACTTATCTTAGATATATATTTTTAAGTAACTAAAGTATAATTTAAGTAGTAGGGTATCAGTATTAGAATCTCTAACAGGCGGCTTAATATAGCTTAATCTAATATGTACTTTAGCTTGGCATGTCCCTGTGGTCGCCAGAGCAATCAGAGACACACACAACATAACGCGGAAGAGCGCGATGGTGTATTTGATGTATCAAAACAAACGTGGCTTCTTTCTTTTGGTAGAACACTGATTCTGACTAAGGTATATGCGCTTAAATATGGCCGCTTTCTGGTAGCAATCCCAAAGACTGTTGAAGACTTCAATAACAACACGATAATACCTCGATGATAGTAATTTTCCCCAAAGAATTGCTTTAGCAACAACCACCATCACAATCACAGCATCCGTCATCGTCGTCACCTTCTTTTGCGCCCTCTTTGCTGTTGTTTGCCTTGACCATTGGCTCTTGCGGTTGATATTGGTGCTCATACGTCGATCCGGCGACCCCGACTGTCGCACCCGTAGTGCCATACAAGGCTGTTCGCATGTAAAACTGGAACGCCTTGATATTTTCATCTGCAGGAATAAGCTGTAACTCGTGATACGACGTTTGAATATTCTTTTCGAACCACGGGAAATCGAGAGCGCAGTCCTCAGGCTGTTTGATGATGCGCTTTGCAAACTGCCGCAAGAAACTCTGACAGTCGTTGAAGCCGAGGACATATACGCCAAACGATTTGTGAGCGGCCTTGCATTCCTCATCAACTGCCTTCTCCGACATCTTGGTCCAGCCAATCTGACAGATGTAGTAGTCCTGAGCATACGGCTTGCCCTCCCTGTCGAGGCTCTCCTGTCGAAGCCGCATCATCTCCTCTTCCATCGACCACGGCGCAATCTTGCTCTCGTAGCCAATCGACGGCACCAGAGACCCGACAAAATGTCCCTTTGGCAGGTTCTTGAACCTTTGCCGCGAGGGAAGCCTCAGCTCGTATTTCTTGCCGTACACAAACAGCGCCCAGTGGTATAAGTGGCCGTCTTTGATCCGACGAGAGAACCACACATTTTCGCCTTTACTTCTGTCCTGCTCCTGCGACTTGCGTCGCTCGACCTCTTCCTCAAGCTTTTTCCTGTGCGCCTCATCTTTGGCGTGGGCCTTGGCCTCGAGAGTACGAATGACAGTCATGATGAATAGCGATGCCGATTATCGAGAACTGAATCATTCCATGAGTGCTCTACGGACATAAATGGAATGTCCTCTCTCCAGTGTGCAGACCAAGCTTGGCAATTAATGCAGTAGATGTCCTTGCTACACTTGCCATTGCGGCACAGCTGGCACATCAGCGGCCAACATGACCGCTTCTAGTAGTTACTCCTTAGTCGAAGTGCCAATGAACCCCTGCCCTAGCATAACTCGAACTAATCAGCCAGAATACCGTTGGTCGGGATGACTTGTGAACTGCACAGTGACGTCATGTTCCTTCGCCTTGCCCACCAAGATGAAATACTTGATTATGTACAAGCAAGTCCTAGCAATCCCTTCCTTTCTTCTTCCAATAGCAGTCGTAAGTTGGCTGCTTCGGCCTTCTACGGCAAGGGCTGTTGTGACGTCACCTGTCGGCTGCATTTTGTCTGTCTTTTCTCAATCAACGCCAACGAACTGATGTTTGGTTGATTCTGAAGCCAAAATCCTCTTCATTCGTTGACAATGCACGAAATCTCTCGACAACAGACCCTGACCACGACTAGACCCGTCCCATTCGATGCATCCGTATCACTCTTTCACATTCCTAACGGTACGACTACATTCGAACAGTCCAAGCCAGGCAATCTTGTTCTGCCAGCCGTTTATGCGAACAAAGGGAAGCTCCATCGGCTCGGTTTCGACTATGGCGTCGAGACATACCTACAGGTCGAGCTAGGCGTTTCCAGGCTGAATGAGATCCATAACCACCTCTGGATGGTCGGGAAACCGATGCCTGGCCGACCTCTCCATCAACATCTCGTGTACGGCCGGAAGATTGTATGTGCCCAGCAGGCGGACCTTCACCTGCTTTGGGATGACTCTCGGCTGTTTGTCAAGCCATGCCCGGATTATTTACTGTCATTTGACTTTTGGGAGCGCTATCTGTGCTGTGGCAACGCCAGTTTATGGGCGACAGCTGCCGGTATGATCCAGTCCTACGCATGGCTGATCCAGGACAAGTCTGACTGGAAGATTGCACAGGCAGAGGGTATCCTTTCGGAATCCATCACCTGGGAGCGCTGGACCGCCTTCGTCTCTTCTTTCAGCGGCCATCTTGAAGCACAAGATCTCGACGTCAATCCACGTTTTAAATACGGCAACCTTCGCCTCACCCGGATCCAATGGATATGGCGTTTTCGCTCCCGTACCGGGGATGTGCACGCATTCGTCAATGGATATCTGAACCCATACTCAAGTTACCGTAATTTCTTCAACCAGATGGTGGCGCCCATCACGGTGGCCACGGTCTATTTTGCGCTCATCTTGGCGGCAATGCAAGTCGGGCTGGCCACGACGATGCTGCAACAGAGCGATGCATTTCAGAACGCATCCATGTGCTTTACTGTGTTGGCTATTGTTGGACCGACCGCGGCGGTTGCAGTGCTAGTAACGGGGGTAATGGGTTATGTATTTGTGTGGAACCTATGTCATGCGGTGAGGTTAAGGAGGACAGAGAAGTTGAAACCAAACATGTCAAGCAAACAGCAGGTGTAAATACAAAGGATCCCTTACTCGACTAACAGAGATTACATGATACAACGGTCGATTTCTTATCCTTGCGACAAGGTTGGGTCGGAAATGATGCCGTGTTGAAAAGACCGGCAGTCTCATACACTTTCTTATATATAAGAGTCGCATAATAGGTATTTAGGATACGTGATAGAGGACTAGGTTAAATTTTACACACTGCATCAATCGAAGGACATTGACAACTGTTTGTCGGCCCTTATATTTTGTGTAATTCTCATTAGTGCAGTAAATATTTACTAAAGGCGGAGTAGTAAGAACAGCAGAATATAGCAGAGATAAATGCAATTATTATTAAAATTAATACTAAAGTAGTATTATATAATCTAGAATATTGTATAATTCTAGGTATATAATTATATAATATATTAATATATTACATTTAGTAATACTTTAGTTTTCTTATTTACCGATGCTGCTATTTAATAATAAAGAGCTTATATAACTGAAAGCTTATACCTGCATTAGGCGTCTAAGGTTAAACATCTCTGCTACCTTGTCCCTGAATTGATAGCTATTATAATTTACCTCAGCGGCGATTCCTTTGAGTTCGGTCGGTCCGGTGTTGCACACAAGCTCTTGCACAGTTGCTGTTTCCCATTGGCTGATCGCCATACACGGCGTCCTGTCTGCCTTATAAAGGCCCAACACCCAGCCTGGGAGCCTCGCCGAGAGCCTTGTTGGGTCTTTATGCATAAACGGCTGATTACAAGAATATCTTAATCTTACGTGCATTTCCCCTCATTTTTTTTTTCCTAAGCTTGCAACGCTCCCGCGAAATGGAAGTGACTGGCCTCGCTGTTGGTGTTGTCGGACTCGCTGGTCTCTTCAGCGTTTGTCTAGACTCACTTTCAAGATTTCAGTCTTACCGCGAGTCGAATTTCGAAACCCATGTCCTGGATACGCGTTTCCGAGCGGCTAGGGCGCGATTTGAGCAGTGGGGTATCAGCGTTGGAATCTCCAATGGGAGACTACAGCCGGATCACCATGATGGACTCGATAACAAAGAGACGGCGGCTCTGATTGAGAGTATCCTTCAAATTATAGCAAAGACTATCTGCGATAAGTCAATTCTGCAAAGAACTCACACCAGACCCCGATTCCAGAGCGGGCAATTTGGAGGCCTGTCGCAGTCAAGAAGCGAGCGATTGAAATGGGCCCTCGGGGGTAAGGAGAGTCGCAACGAGCAGGTCGACATCTTCGAGAAGCTGGTGCAGCAGCTTTATAATCTGATTTCACCAGAGGAAAAAAGCCAAAATTATAAAGGGCTGGAGAGCACAGCATGGGTAGAGGATATTTGCCAAATGCTAACCAAGATCGAGGAGGGGATAAAGTGCAAGTGATGTGTCCCCTACTTTTAGCCTTGACCCGAGGTATTGTTTAACTAACAGAAAGAAGCTGAAACGCAGCGCGATGTACTCGCATGGTTGGGAAAATCACCTCCAAGCGACAAATACGAGGATTCACTGAGTAAGCGACTTGACACAACATGCGAATGGATATTTAACCGATCCAAGTTCAAGTCGTGGCTCTCGCCGGCGGATTCATCCAAACCAAGCTTGCTCTGGATAAACGGGCCTGCAGGATTCGGAAAGACCGTTTTGAGTGCTCATATCGTTCACCGTTTATCTGAGGCTCTAGATACACCAGTGGCCCATTTCTTTTTCACATCTGATCATGAAAGCCGAGACGATCCATTCGCTGCTCTGAGATCATGGCAGTGCCAGGTTGCAGCGAAGAATAACGATGCCTTTGAGTGTATCCGTGGGGTCTGGGAGAGCGACTCCTCTGAGAAGGCTTCTCGAAGAACTATTGTTGACTTGTTCAAGCAGGTGATCACAGCAGCACCGGGTTGTGTATTCATCGCAGACGGATTGGACGAATGCTCTCAGTTGGGTAACGGAGACACATCGGTTGCCAGACTTTTGCGGGACATCATGTATTCTATACATGACGCCAACGTCAGGTTGTTGCTCATCAGTCGAGACGAGCCAGAAATCAGAGAAACCCTCGAAGAGAATGGAGAAATCCTGTCAGAATACAGGATCGGTACAGACGATGTTGGGGCCGATACAGCAGCCTTTTCCCAATCTGTAGTTGATAAAAAGCTCTCTAACAAGAGTGAGGATGTCCGACTAGCTATCTCAGAGACTATGGCAGCTCGGTGCGAAGGTCAGTTTCTGTGGATCAAGATGCAAGAGCAGTCTTTGCGGAATGGCATGAGCAAGAAACGACTCTGTGAAGTGGTTGAGAATACACCTTCCGGCCTTGATCGCCTATACGATCACAACTGGAAGAGAATCATGGAGATGCCCGATTGGGATCGAGACCGGGCTTTTGCCCTTCTACGTTGGTCTGCATTCACATTCCGGCCTCTTACTGTCTTCGCGGTGACCGAAGCTGTTCTAATCACTCAGTTTCAAGAACTTGACCCTGACGAGTACCCCGAGAATGTCAACGACGAGTATATCAGAACCGAGATAATAGGACTCTGTGGACCGCTCCTGGAAGTCCACGATCACTCACAGCATTCATCACCCGGAAATCGGACACTTAATATACCGCATTTCTCCGTGCGCCAATACCTTGTTGAAAATCTGCCAGCACCCGCATGGATGCAGGCAAACGACATACTGAACAAGGAATACGAAAGTCTTCACCACACAGCTATAGCACGAGCCTGTGTTCAGTATCTGAGTTTGCCGCAAGTTTGGGAAAAGGATGGTCAACACGGTCCGTGTGTTGGAGCATTCCTTCTCTATGCCGCTTACAATTGGATGCACCACGCCAGGATGGGCTTTATGGATCCGTCACTTCTTGAACTTTCGAAAGCCTTTCTGCGACAAGATAAGGCTCCTTTCAAGTCCTTAATTAACTATATTGCGGACCCCGAGGACATAAGCTTGGCTAAGAAATCAGTCTTTCAGCCGCAGCTTCGCCCTTTTGAATACGTGCTTTACGGAGGGTGGATAAACATGGCAGATCATCTTATTGACGATGCTGATGTCAATGAGATTGGTGCTCTCGGGCGATCACCTATCTTTTCGGCCTGCCATTCCGGCTCAGCAGAATCAGTCAATTTGCTTATTCGACGCGGCGCTGACTTGAGCATTACTGACTCTCAAGGAGTGACATGCCTTCATATAGCAGCCGCCTGTGGTTTTGAAGATATTGTTAGGATCTTGGTGGAGTCAAAAGTTAAGTTGTCACCACAGGATCATAGAGGCCGCACACCATTACATCTTGCTTCAACAAGAGGTCACATCAAGTGTTACCAATATTTACTCGAGCAAGGAGCCGATGTCAATATCAGAGATAAATGGGGTGGTAATGTTGTACACTACGCATGTATTCACGGCCAGGCTGAGCTACTAAGATTCATCCTTCGGAATGCGCCCGACAATTTTGCAACCGATCATTCTTACAGATTAGCCTCGCCACTCATTCTTGCAAGTCAGTCTGGCAATGTAGATATGGCAAAGCTTCTTTTTGAGCATGGGGCAGTGTCGTCCTTGTTTATTACCGAAACTCTTGGTAACCTACCACTTCATTATGCAGCATCCAATGGCCATGCTGAACTTTTAGGACTATTCCTAGAGCATGGTGTAGAAAAGACACTGTCTGTTTCGAATGCGGCTGGCCACACGGCACTTCATCTTGCCTGTGGTGGGAGAGAGCGCGATGGAATTATCAGTCTTCTTCTTCGCCCTGGAGTTGAACAGTCGCTACTAACGGGAGACGAGGAGGGGGACACACCACTGCACGTGGCGTCTGCAGTAGGATACGTCAGTTATGTCAAGTTAATACTTCAGTACTCAGAGCCAGAGCACCAACGTCTCCTAGAAATGAGGAACAGGAACCTCGAGACGCCTTTGTTTATTGCGTCATACAACGGGCACACCGAGGTAGTGAAGACACTACTAGAGCATGGAGCAGAAACTACTCTTCATGTCCTCAACTGTCACAATATTAGTCCTTTATGGGCAGCATCATTCAATGGCTCTAGCGAAATTGTCAAAGAACTACTCTACCACAGGGCAGGAAAGACCATTACAACTCCTTATTTAGGAGGTGAAACGCCGTTATATGCCGCCGCGACCAAGAACCATGCCGAAGTATTGAAGCTCCTTCTGGAGGTCCCTGATGTCTCTGTTAATCAAAAGACCACGTATGGGTTCACACCTCTGTTCATCGCCTCAAGAAATGGATATCACGACATAGTAGAGCTACTGCTCTCTACAGATTCGATTGACAAAGACAGCGAAAGCTGGCTGGGCCTGAGCCCCTTATTCGCAGCAGTGGCTAATGGACATCTGGAAGTTACAAAACTCCTCCTCTCCAAAGGAGCCCATCTACAACTCTCGGTCAGCATTGGTCGAGACTTGCTCTGGTGGGCTCAACGTTCAAACAAACCGGACCTGATACAACTACTGAAAACACAAGAAGCCATCACCGGTACCGCCAGTGACTCATGCAAACCTCTGCCTGGTCCATTCGCCAATATCGAGCCTCTATCTCGCAACGCGAAGACTGTAGACTGCACACCCGGGGTTTCCTGGTGTTATGTTTGTACCTTGAGCGTACAAGATGAACGATATTTTCAATGTCAAGAGTGCCACGATTCCTACATGTTTCTCTGCTCAGAATGCTTTAGTCGAGGGTTTCATCTATGTCTAAGATCGCATGTTTTGGTTCCATTGAGTTTGATGAGTCGGACAGTGGAAGCACTACAGACGGCTCCGTAAAATCCGAAAATTCATAGTTGACAACTTTCCTAGAAATTGAATACCTCACTGGTCGTTGATCCAGCATGAGGTCCTTAGGGGAGCCAATACACGATTATCATGAACAATGATCGTAGCTACAAAAAGCCTAAGCTTGGAGGAATGCCTAAAGACCAGATGGTCGAGTGGCCGGAGACGTTTGGGTGCATGATGATGTGGGTTAATGCAGATGCATGAATTAACAATTTTGATACCTCTCTAAAATATTCTCGTGCTGATGCCCACGAAGGATAAGGGACGAGCCTGATAGTAATCATCTAATCTATCGTGAACGGTTTCTGTGTGAGAGATAAACTCAGTACAGGTAGTACCCATCTGCCACACAACGTGGCCTAATTCAGGTTCTAAAAACGCGGCCTAAACAGGAACGGTCGATTGTATAACGAAACTGTTTTGCCAGGTGATGTAATCTGTCCCCTACCGTAATCCTTCTCGCTTGCATCTATTGTTGGATTGTGAACTTGCTTCGCTTCCGCAATTGATCTCCATAACGGAAGAGATACCAGAACCCAACAATGCCAAGTATGCTCAAACCGCCCAATAGACTACAGCCTTTTCCAATTCCTAGATTTAGGTAGAGAGGCCTACCGAATAGAATGGCAGCTGCGGCAAACGAACTCCTCAAGGCATCATTGGTGGCAAAAAGACTAGCCGCGTAATGAGGATATCCCAATGGGAGATAGATGAAGATCCCAGAGCCTACAACAAACGAGAAGCCGCAGTAAATGACAATACCAAGCGTTGGCACCTCCCAGGGAATTGACTCTCTCGCGCCCCAGCCAAATAAGAACATGCCAATTGGCGCACCAAATACACCAAGTAGTCCAGGACGTAAGAAGGTCTCGGGGACATCATAGGACCCTAGTGCTTTGAATCGCTTTTCAATGCATATATGATACCAAGATAGGTACCATACGATGCCAATGATACACGCGATTAGAACGCATACAAAGACGGCACTCGTTTCTCCGAGATTCATCCCATAGATCTTGGGATAAACGAGTGGGAAAACCTCGAAGAAGGAATAGTATATTCCATAAGTAAAGGATGTCTACGCGGAGGAATTAGTTATGGAGATCTCTGGAAGGGAAGACATCAGACACGATCAAGGCAGCTTACGTAAATGTTCACAAACGCGATTGAAGGATCCTTGAGAGAGATCTCGAATGGCTTAATCAGCGCCGCTTTTATGGCATCTCTGGGGGTCACCACCCTCAACGCAATGGACGTTGCGTCAATGTATTTGTCCGACCCAGTTTCTTCTCGCAGCAGTTTGGACCTGTGGTACAGCAACGTCGGTGTAGATGTCTCGGGTAAGAAGATGACGAGGAGGACGAAAACAAAACATGAGAGCCATAGCAGCTCCCACATGGACCACCGCCATCTATTGCTGGTTAGAACGGGTCCTATTAGTACAGAATCAAGAGGAGCTCACCCCTTGACAACAACTGAGAAGCCTGAAAGCAATGGGCCAAGTGCCGGGCCACAGTACATAGCGCCTGACCATGCCGCTAGACTGTATGGGACGTAGATGACGGAAAACTGTTGGGCAGGCAGTTAGTGGCTAGACAATATGGTGAAACTAGAGAAAACCTTGTATTACCATGTCAGTAAGGCTCGCAGCGCCAGTGGCGAGGCATGGGCTTCCGAAGAAGCCTTGCAGGAAACGAATGATGAGGAATCCAGCAAAGCTCTCTGTCAATGCCGCTCCGACGCAGAGGAGATTGAAGATGGCGAAGGTAATAATGTAGATCGGGTTACGTCCGATGTAGGGAATTTCGCTGAGCGGAGAGAAAAGTAGCGGCCCAAATCCATCTGTAGATTCTCATCAGCCTCTATCGAAAGTCGTGACCGTAATTGAGAAAGCCCACATCCGAGAACGTAAAGGGCGAGACCTAACGATGCTGCTGTTTCTGTGACGCTGAACTCTTGCATGACCTGTCTATACACTGATTTAGTGTGCATCGTCCTCATGTCTAAGAAAGCTTTGACGTACCCGACGCTTGGAACGTAAATCGACGACCCGCAATAGATGGTAAAAGTGTACAAGCTGTTTAAAAAGAGGTTTGGTTTCAGCAAGGTTCAGGCGGTGATGGGGATGCGTCAAACGAGTTACCAGATTAGGGCGGCCACGGCGGTCTTCCTCATCGTAGACCAATTGTGAGGATTTTCAGCATCATCGTGCGATTTCCTGCGCTTGCCGTGAGAAAAAAGAAACAAAGATTAATAGCGTAACACTTGTCACTCACCATCCAACAAGTATGCAATCATCCTCTAGCTGAAGATTGGAGTGTGAGGACCCGCTGCTTGCCTCCTTGGGATACTCATCTTTGTAGCTTTCCAATGCCAGGAATCGATTGTTTGTTGCTAGCCTGACAATTGCACCCAGGGCCGTAGTCCGGAAATAATGCCCCGTCATGTTGGCAAGGTAGTGATGCTGTCTCTGAAGTATGTGGACTTGTGGAGTTGCATACTTAGAAGCTGACTGAGATATGAGGCAGTCTTATGTGTTTTTCTTGATACTGCAAGCCTTGTCCGAACATTCAGCTCCTTCCTTCAATACAGTCCGATGGGTATGGGTATTCGGGACGACCAAGGGGTCTTCGCCCCGCCCTTAGGCAATTCGGGATTTGGGTGGGCCCCCGTATCCCAGAGCAGTTCACGCCGACCGGTTCGGGGAAAAGAGCGAATTGATGTCCGAGTAGTTGTTCTATTATCGTTATTGACATTAGCTGAGATATAAGGAAAAGCCCATCACCGAGAAAGCCCTGGCACCGATTTCGCTCATCGATGTTTTTAATTTCTTTACTCATCCGCTCAGTCTATTCCCTTACAGCTTCGTTTCACGTTCTATAATACAACACATCATCCACTTTCATTCCTTATGTCAAATCCCTCAGGGCGTCAAGCCATTCCTCTTCAAATAAATCCCCAAGGGTGGTGTCTTGCTGATTTGCAGAGACTTCAGTATAGGCGGGCTGATAATGCAAGGTCGCCATCTCAGTCTGAAGAATGGAATTGGCGATTCTCTTGAGTTCCAATAATATCCTCTTAGCCCTCGGCCATATGTCCTCATAATGCCTGAGCGTGCCGAGGCAAACGCGGATCCGTGATCGGGCCACTTCGGCTTCATCCTCTGGGAGTGCCGACTTGCAAGCTACGAGGTGAGCAATGGTGCAGCAGGAAACCATGCAGATGACGAAAGGCGATAACTGGGCTGAGCCGAGGGGTAAGATGATAAGGCACTGGTTCTGCTTGCGGATGGCCTGTAAGAGCTTTTGCAGATGCGACTGACGATTCAGCCCGCCTCCACCGCTGAGTCCCAAGAGCAGCGGAGGGGGAGGCGACCCGCACGTAGAGATTCCTTCAATAGGGTCATATCTAAGGGTGGAAAAGGGCCTGTGTATGTAAGCAAGACATCTAGGATTCTTTTGGTCAGTTCGAGTCAACAACTAGCTAGAAACATATCCGATTTCTTTTCTTACGTGTACATCATCATGTGTGATTGGAAAATGAGTTGATCCAAGAAAGCAGGCCGAACATCGAGGTCTCTTTTACTTGGCGGTAACATGGCGAACCAGCCGGCGATCTTGGCCTCAAGATTATCACAGAGTATCTCTGCTCTGGATGTGGTCTTGAACTTGAGCGATGCGTGCAGTGTGGTAGCAAATATTACACTTGCATCGATGTAATATGCAAACGAAGAAAACAACTTTTCTTGCATGTCGTACTCGCGGTTATGATACTCTGCGAATGTCGTTCTTGTCGGCGGAATAAGCTTCGTAGTTGAGTTTAGCAATGGTAACATTTGTCCTGGGATATATCTGGGCGATTACCATTTCATTGTACTCCTTATCTTCACATGGTAGATCCACGTCCAAGCTCATGTCCTTCAGCCTCAAGGTATAGTCCTGTCGGATAACAGCAAAGTTTGCGTCGCTCACGTACAACATCCACATTGTACGCCTCCAACTTTCTGCGAGTACTGGATCGCTTTCGGAAATAAAGCCTGCAAGTGTTTTGGTGTCCATGCCAATGAGGCTTGCTTGGTGCATTGCCTTTGATAGTAGTTCATCGGCAAGGTCCTGCTCCGCGCACATGCTCTTTGCCAATGCTGTCAGCAGGGTTGTTTGCACGGTGAATCCATCTATCTGTTCGTTCTGCCCCAATAGAGAATCTTCGATTCCAATGACAGGTTTACTCGTGTAAAAAGAGCCGATATGCTGAACAGCGGCCATGACATGCTGAATATTAGGGCATCCAGCGGCATACCTCGCATCAAGAGCTGTTCTCGGCAGAATAAAAGGATGACTAGGGTGAAAATTTTCATAATACAAATCAATAAGCTCGATTCCAAAATCGCGAGTTTCCATCACTCCAAAACCTAAAACCGAGCCGGATGGCGGCTGTTGAAATTCCGGAGCAAGGGATGTAAGGCTATCAGTGGATGTCAAATTATGCGGCTGGGAATCTTGAGCCCGCGGTCTTCTTGACGTTGCTTTATAGCTACCGCTTCGACGCGATTCGGGAAATGCGCAGGTTCTGGAGAGGCCTTGGCACCGGGAACAAATAGGACGTGTCCCATCGCATTTCAGATGCTGATTTCGACAAGGGACACAGGCAAGCGTCGCTCGAGTTTTGGACCGGCGCTCCATTATGAAATAGAGGTTCACTTGTTATCCAATATAATTGCTTTGAATGAATTGGCTATGCTGTTGATTATTGCGGTTTTAGATGGGCCTTTAGAAGGAAGGACTACAGTAAAAGTTATTATTTAGCCTCCGAAGAGCGGTGCTGCCAAGACATATCTATGACTCAGCAGAAACTGTAGGGTTAGCTATCTGCATAGCCTGCTTTGTAATTGTTTAATTACATGGGTTTAGCTACAAATCTCTATATTTCTAACTTGCATAATTTAAATATATATAATAAGATTTAAAATCTAAGCTTTTTAATACATTCGATTGTTAGTGGTTCTCAATTGGCTTAGCTTGGCCAATTCATTAGCCATACCTATCTCAGCATTTCTAACCTTAACTCTGACTTCTCCTCTAATGGCCCCGCGGAATTACCAATATTCATTCTTCCCAGGAACATCACTACTGCTCCAGCCACCACTCGACGAAATGTCTGCAAATTCTGGCGTCGCTGATAGACCCGGTAAGATAATAGAGAGGTTGCCTTTGATAGTATCGCTTAAGCCGGATATAAGTGGTCTGAAGTCAGTCACAGTCACAATGCATCTCAACTCAAATCCTTTGCCGGTTGATGGACAAAGTAAACGGCACCCTCTCGAAGAGTCAGGAAGGAGCCACAGGACCCGATAATCTCTTGTAAGTCCTCGTCGTCCAAGTCCTCGAGCGACGCGACAAGAATCCCAGTTCCTTGAAGGTGATGGGGCGGTATACTACCGAAGCAATAGCGAGTACCTCTCTGCAGAGGTCTGCATCAATCGAATCACAGACTTTTTCCATCATTCGCTCGTAAAGAGAATTGAGTCCTGGGGGGGAATGGCTTTAACTTTATTTTCAATCATCAAACTTCTTCGAGTCTTGCTCATTTAGTAAACAAAGTCATCAGGCCGCTCTTTGTAACGATCGATTACTCACGCGCTGGCGGTGGCGACAGAGATAACCCAATATCCATATTCTCCATGCAAACTTATAACCTCGAAAGCGGTTGGTTGAGCTTGTTGTTATACTTCTGCAGCGCTGAGGCGGTCTTGAGACGGGCCTTGCCGATGCTTCTTGATAATGAGTCGGAGGAGGCATGTCCCAGAGACTCCAATATGGTTTTATTCGAGGTGGCGATTTTCTCACTAGCGGCTATTATGGTCTTTTGCATGAGTTTACATCACCAGCTATCCGGATGGTGAGCAGACCCAGATAGGGTAATTCGTTCCTTCGTGTCATAGCCGGCTCATCCTTGCTCCCTAGCCACCTCCTCCAAAGGCCAGCGCATTGGCTCTTGCCAAAAGCTGCCCAAGTAATCGGCAATAAGCCGCACCAAGAAGGTGCCCGCATCGTCTATAAACCAAGATTTGCGGCACCGATGTAGTAAGACGCCGTAGTATGCCATGATTATGAGGGCTTCAGGTTGCTGTTTTCGTACGGTATCCAGGAAGTCTGCCGTCAAGAGTACAGGAAATGCGGTTGCAGCATGTACGTTGTCCTCGAGGGGCAGGTTAGCATGGATATTGAAGGCCCATTGTAGCGTGCGAGCGGCTCTTAGGCATCCTGTCACTGCTGTCGGGCCCAAATCAGAAGCTCGGATGAGACTAATAAGCTCGACACATTCACTGCCACCATGCTTCGCTGCTTCTTCGGCGTTGCGTATATTGAGAAGGAATGGACGTATGCTAGACTCAAGAATAGTGTCATACATCGAGGAGGTTACGGTTCGAACCCCTCGATGGAGATGTGCCAATTCGAGAAATCTTTCTATAAAGACGTGAAAGTTGGCACGGTAGTGAGTAAATGTCTCATAAAGAATTTGGAGACTGAGAAGAGACGCAAAGAGAAATCGAGGGACGCAAGTCTTGTTTGGATCAGACCCACCCCTATTCATTAGTTCGGGAGGAGGACGGTTGAACCACATGAGAGCGCGAGTCTGAAGCTCAGTAGCAGTGCGACGATGAGATGTGGCATTTTCAGGTGATAATAGACCGAGATGGTCCGCTGATAATGCGAGGAGCTGGTCCATAGCGTACGGCGCTACATGGCACCACTTTAAGGCGATATCGACAACAAGCCCTATGAAGCTGCCGGCAAGGGGCATATCTGTGATGGCATGGTGAAGTAAGCTGAGATGTTTGGCGGTGAAGATGGGCTGAGGAAGGCCGCTAGGGATTGTTGCAGGGGAAGAGGAATCAACGAAAGTGGTTACGGCAAGTGTGTCGGTAAAGGAGGGGAATGTTGTAGGAAAGGGGATTAGGTCATCAGTAACCTCAGGAAAACCAACCCGGCCATGCGAGCACGATGGCGGCCGTCCAGCAGACTGAGGAATTTGGATAGCACTGGCGTCGGAGCAGCTATCGGCACAGTTCTGAACTTGATTATTGCTGGCATTGTTCGGGATGGCCTGGAGTAGAGGCAGAGGGTGGAACGGAATCGGGGATGCGGTTGGCGTAGTGGTAGCGGGCGTTGCGGAGGATGGAAAGGAACATGATCGTTCACTGACGGCGCAGTTGCCACAAGCAGGTCGAGATTCGTCGCATTTGATATGCCGTCGCTTGCACTCCCAACAGCCCTTACGCGACTTGCGATGGGCGCGCCGGAGCTTGGCAGCAACGGTGCCGTCCTGGGAGCCAGAGCCGGAGCTGGGGCGTTTGCTCTCTGAGGCGGTGTATAGATTCATCGCAAAGGGAAATGACCCAGGGTGGCAGGCGAGTGTCGTCGTTGTCGTCCTGATTAGAAGCAATAGAAGATCATGGTCTTGGCTGGTGTTGTCTATCTCCAAGCAGCTAGAGTCCGTGGAGCTGGAGCTCCTCTGTGACGTGGGTTGTGACACGACTTTGGAGAGCGGCGGTGGTTCTAGAACGGCAAGAAGGGAGGGGAAACAACAAAAAAAAAAAAAAAAAAGAGAACGCTGTCAGATCGGAAGACAAGACGATTAGTCAGATTTCGGGGATCCGGAGTTTCCTACGATGGAGCAACACCCTGGTAGTTAAAGCCGCATTCGATTTGACGTCCTTTTATCCTTTTCAACCTAGGGGTTTCGCAGTAGCTTCGCGAGCCTGAAAGCGTGCATGGACGAAAAGAATGTATTACGACGCAATTCAGAGGAAATTGGAGGGACGCCTCGCGTGCATGAACCAGAGCATGTGCATTGCGTCGCAATGTTTGCAGCAATCATTGTTGTAGGTTGTCGATGCAAACAATAATTATTAGAGTCAGCTGATGGAACCGCGACATGTTTCTTGTTTTTAGGTTTCTGATCTTTATTAGTGCGGTAAGAAAATCGCAGTGCGTTTCCATCTAGGGAAATATGGGGTAAAAATGTTAAGCAGTAATTGGTTAAAAACAGGAAATGCAATGTGTTTCTGGCGATATTTCTCTACTTCATGCAATCTGTTACCATTTCGCCGTCATCTTTTAGCACTCTAATCCCTGATATAACCCCTGGTAGGACCAGTGGGTTTAAAGGAAAAACCGGTGTTTAGAATCAACAGCCAAACTCGGGGTTTATTTATTTAAGGAGTGACCTGGAGGTCCGCGAAAGGGCCAATAGTGTTTCAACCCAGTCGCCCTAGGTAGAGCCAGTAAAATTCCGATAACCAATACATCGTTTTTTTCATTTAGATAGGACTCTTAGTGATCATCTCCTAATCCTGGCAACGCGCATAACAGTCCACCGACTTACTGAAGCCCTTTTCTCATTGACTTTGGCTTAGCAGCCTGCATCATTTAGATAGCATGATTCTCTCTCTATCACTGTTGGGTATCCTTGTCCAGCACATAGGCGGGGCTGACGATTTTAGGTAACCGTCAAGATAGCATATGAGAAATGCCTTGGTCTCGTTCATATTACATCCGACACTGAGTCAAACGGCATACCAAAGCCAACTCTTTGCGGCCAGCAATAGTTTGCAATCGTCCGGTGCTTCAGGTAGTTGAAGATCGGAGAAATATAGCATGTAAACAGGGGGAGGCTGAAGGATGGGGCTACGAGAGAACACCTTGAACGATGCCTATGTGGACATATTGAGCAGCCCGACTCCTTATGTAGCGAAAATGGCAATATACCCGATTAGATTAGCATCCTTTCTATGTCTATTCCAATGTCTATGTATATATCCCCTAATTAATCACATGAAGGCGTGCGCGTCATGTCGCAAATCCAAAAAATACCAGCCAAGGAAAATCGCAACAAATATCAAAGTTGAAACAAAAGAAAATACACTCGGAGAGCTTTGTTATTTGGATTAAAATGAAACATCAAAGACATGGTTAGTATCGAGGCATTAAAGTGCATTAAGGTGGCAGAGCAAGAGGCTTTGAAGGATGGAAAGCTCAGAAGTCCCAAAGTGTGCCGAAAGCGTGTATTCCCTCTATATCGATCATCAACTGTCAGCGAAACTCATAAGACACTCGGGATAGAGTTGTACGAACCTTCACGGCATCCTTGCATCATTTCATCATTCCCCTTCATGTTGGACGTGATGAAGATAACCTCGGCACCGAAGTTATTCCAGGTGTCTTTCAGGAGCTGCATTGTATCTGGTCGGCCGCCGCGTTCCTTTGTATCCCACAGTATCATTCGATCGGGCTCGATGTTATCGTGGATGAGCCGTGAAATCGTTGATCCGAACGTGTTTATCTGGTCAGAGCCTATCCAGATGAGGAACCTTGGATGGACTGTTAGCAAAAACCGGTGTTGGTCACGCATCTGGGTATACATACCAATTTTTGCTCTGGATGCATGTTGACAGAGCGGCACCGATACCTGTTCCAGTGCAGACGCGAATACCCCTTTTGAACATGGCAGAAGCGTGTCCGATTCCGGCTACACACAGTCAGTACAGTCGATAGCACAAGTTACCTAGCAAGCGGCTCATACCGAACTTCAATTCTCGTGTCCAGATCTTTGTAGGTGGGTCCGCAACGAGACTCTTGGTGAAATCGCCTTGAACACCGCAAACCATGTAATGGTATGGGGAATGGCGTCCTTCGCTGATGATACCAAAAGCGTGATACTCCATCAAGGCTGAACGGCCGATGCGTCCAAGAAGGCCTTGCTGCATTCCCCTATTAAAACGGAGGACGGCAACCTTGGACGAGGGTATTTCTACTTCGACAGGGACTTGTCGGATTGTGACCCAGGGGAGAGCGATCCTGAAGAATGCAAGTTTCAGTAGTTATTCTTTTTCGGAAGCTGCTAAACGTGGGGTTCCTTACAAGATCGTCATGAAAATGGTAAACCAGATGTTTTCCGTGGTAATCAGGGACTGTGCATTAGAATTATCTTTACCGCTAGTGGCATCGTAAGAGTTGCTCAAAACGACGAAAGACCATGTAGCCTATACCCAAGTCAGTACCAACTCCCAAAGGAATTTGACTATGACTCACAGCCAAACCTAACCAGCCGGCGAATCGATGGTACCGCTCAAAAATGTTGTGGTGATTACTGGAACAGGAGGTCAGTGCGATTCGATAGGTGAGACAGGCCTGGACTTACTTTCTAACCCATGGTAATGCACTCAGCACGGATGTTATGATGAAGACGACGGTGACAATCCCGCTAATGAGTACAGCAGGTTCACGGATGCTGCGGTGACTGAGAATCTGTACGATGTAATACACGAGCCAACTAGAACAAGTCAGCAACTAAACGGAAGCATGCATATGAGGGTTTCTTACGCGGTGCCAGAGAGTGCACAGCCCGAGTGTACTCCTCCAACATGTTGCAGAAACGATGCTGCCATTAACTTCATTCTTAGTGGCGCCCACTGTTCAATGTTAGCCTCTCAATCACCGCAGCTTAATAGTTACATACACTTCTCAGTCCGTAGATAAAGGCCATATAGAGTATCCGAAAGAACAACTCGTTGCGCATCAAGATAGCAAAGAGCAGGTTTCCAAGAACCATAGAACCAAGATGGTCCTGCGCATACTGGAACTGGCCCACACTGGTAAGGATGATACCAACAAGGTTGAGAGTCACAACGAAAGTGAACAGCCGCTTATATGTGTTGAACCACAGTACGAAGAGGGTACTTTTTCTGGGTTCCTGCTTCTTTGGCGGCGGCGGTGTGATCTTTTGCTTGGGAAGAATTGGCAATGAGGAGTTCGATTTGCAAGAGTTGTGAAAAGACGAGGTCGATTGCGTGGCGGACCACATGTTTCCCTCATGAACCGGAGGAAAAGCGGTAAGGTGGCCATCCGCTTTGTCGGATGGATAGACTTTACTCAGTGGTGTAAGTGCCATTCCCGAGTTGTCGTGCTGGCCCTTCTCCGCATCGTTGAACTCGCGGTTGAAGCTGCTCTCCGATGGGGTTTCGTGATAGGGGAATCGGAAACTCATGGTGACAGGGAATGAGGTGAAAGTCTAGGTAGATTGGTGAGCTGAAGGTGGGTTGGGGAAGTGACCAGGGCGAGCTAAAACCCAGACAGAGATTCAAGAGACTCTGTTACCAGTGATACTCCTTACGACTTTGGAACCATTCGGCCGGGATGCATAATATATAACTATCCTGTGCAGCCCCTGAACCGAGGCTACTACCTCACCGTCAACGAAGTAAAGTTTTATGCGTCATTCGTCTACGTGTAAGCCACGGACTGCGTGAAGTGGGCTACTTGATATGCTATTTAAAGTTGACTACAGCCGAGAACCGAAGTTTATCGCGTGCCTTTCGCTCGTGTTTGGTGCGGGCTGAGGCTCTGGGCGCATACATACGCCAACAGGGGAGCAGAGCCGCCCCCACGGGGGATGCACTTGGCAGATAGACAGGGCCGACAGACCAGGGTAACGGTCCCAAGCTAGCGGTCCATCGTCCGATATCTTCATGCATCTTAGATACGGCGCGTATTATCGCCACATACGGCCATTTAAGCGAGGACAACGCGACTGATACTTTTACAACATGTAAAAACTGTTTATTTTGTTGCATTTAATTTAATCTGCCGATGTGGGATGACGGACCCCGAGGAGGGTAATTATACGATGTAGTATTTGGAGGTTGAAGTAAGACTTTAGAGCACTTTAGATATGATCCCGAATTCCGACAACTCCACTACAGCAAATGCCGGGCTGCTATTCCGTATTCAGGAACACGCAATGGAGAACCCCACCCAACGTTAAATAATGGATACATAAGATTTCGATCCGCGCATATAAAATGCAAATTTCATCAGAGACGAGAAGCAATAGGGCGTTTGTTGGAAAGCGGAGCTTGGAGAGGAACTCTATATAATTAATGAACTTGTTCACTCTGCGGGATACCACCTGATTGACGGCAGTCAAAGTATCAGTGTCCGTATACGAATTGCATGGGAAAGTCAGTCATATGTAACTGCAAATGATGCCATCTAAACAACTGTAACACCTGTTCCCATACACCATCGATGTTTTTAAAGTTAACCGCTAGTCGGAATGTTTTGTCTGTTTATACATGTTTCATCCGGCGGCCCGTACGAAGCGTAAAGTCCCCTGCTAGGCTGGACTATCTATAGTTGCTATCGTATTATACCCGGAAACGGCAGATGTACCGTACGCCGTCAGGTACCGACACATGCATGCAGATCCAAGGGTGGCCCCGTCCATGCTTTATCGCTCAGCCTGAGGTACTGATAACTGACTTTTGTATAGCTAGCCCTATGGTAGCTTCGTAAGGCACACCATCTGATACGCCAGCGCAGGCCGTGGGACCCGCGGTACCATGTAACTGTCACATACGTCATGAGTATTTAGGAAAGACAGTCGCAGCATAAACACTGAAGGCGGTCAGAGCGATGCTTTGAAGAAGAGGAGGCTGCCGAATCCCGCGGTTTCCGGGAATGTCTTGTACGACTTCAGATGGTAGTCTTGGGCAGTAAGAATTCGTCAAGGCCCGTGGTGGTCCGAGAGGCAGCCAAGGTTGCAAAGAAGAGGTTCACTCGGTGACATGCTGCTTCTGAGCTGTAAGCAAGTCAGCGAGCCGTTCGGTGCCCGCGCATCAAGACAGCGCGCACAGATTCTCAGCCGCTGACGCCCAACCAAGTGACCTTCAAGATGCTGTTTTGACAACTCCTGGAAGCGATTCTTGCGGATGGGGCTATCTCTCTTACAATGGAAGACATTGCCTGTGCGCATCTCCAGTACTTCGTCGCTAACTTGCATTCGGACTCTGAGGAGGGCCTGCGATAAGATACAAAGTGGATACCATCCTAGCGGCCGCTGTGTCCCAACAGTTTGGATGCCAGGAACTGCCGTTGATCTGCACTATCGAACCTTCGCACCACGTAAGCCTCGCATCTCCTCGGATCTTTGATTCTCTATGAAGACGAAGACATCTCCTCACCTCCGCTTAGCAATTCCATGATCCTGTTCAGGGCTTGCTCATCTCCTTCTTTTGTTTCAGCTAGATCCTCGTCAATCCATCCTCGTGTGTACCCGCCACCAAAATCAATCAGCCAGGTATTGTCTTGCTCGTCGATGATGATGCTGTCAGGTTTTCCGCCTCCCCAGATCAGTCCGTGCTGGTGAAGAAGCTCGACGGTTTGCCGGATTTGGGAAGCCCATTTCTCCTTATTCCGCGACGCAGCAGAGGTGATGATATCGCTAAGTCTGCGCCCCGGCACCCACTGTCGAAGAAAGCCCAAGATATGCTTCGTATCATGATGATGAACGTATCCGAGAAGTTGAGGAACACGTATAGATCCCGTTAGAAAGGATTCCCGTATCTTATGAAGGCATTCAAGCTCTCGTCCTTTACTGGTGCCATAAAGCCCTCCTGGCTCACCACTCGACTTGCAGAGCATGTCTCGCCCTTGTATTTGGACGGCAGCCGTAACAGTCCTTGCACCACGTTCAAACACCTCGGTAGCAAAGACTTCCTCAGGTGCATAGCGAGGTAAATCTTGGCAGATCTCCAACTCTTCTTGAAAACCTTGGTCAGAGGCAGGGTCGACTGTATGAATGGTATTTGTTTCGCTGGAGCTAATGGGTATAATAGAGACACTACCAGTAGGAGCAGGGGCCTCCAAACGGAAGTGGAAGAAAGGAGGAAATAGGTAATGGTGTAGAGATTTGCTTAGAGCCTGTTCATCTTGCGAAGATATCAACTGACAGAAAAGAGGTCTTCCAGCATCAAGAATCACGGCAAAGACCTCATCCACAAGCTCCTCATACTCGTCGTCGTCCTGGCACACAGTAGCCTTCTCTATGAGATCAATAAGATGGTCCTGTAGATGGCGATCTTCCTTTCCTTGGGTGTCCTTTGTAGACGATCCGTTGCTAGGAAATATAGAGACGGAAATTAAGCAGCCATTAAATGCGAATACCATATCTGCACCATCTCCGGTGCCACTATGAAGTCCGTAGACAGCGACATCATCCATTGCCTGTGTTTCTACAATGTCGCCCATTTTCCGACTCCGTGAAGTGGGATGTATAGGTTATGAGGCTATAAGGATGGTTGGGCGAGGTATAGACATGAAGCATAGGATAAGCATGCATCGCCAAGAACAACGTGAACTGGTTATTGAAGTCAATTAGTAAGCGGCCTTACTACGGAAAAGCCATGGTCAACATGGCAAGACAGCCATTCCGATGCAGCGCCGACTGCAAACGTCATAAAGCTAAACTTGTAATTAATAACATTGGACAATAGCTCTTCCGATGCCAAGAAGTATACAGCGATCGGTGAGAGATTGCCAAGAGATAATCTCCAATAGCGCATCATTCAGCTGCGCCATTTCCTGCCACTGAGACAATGTTAGACATAGAAATACCGACTTTGGGATAAGGTGCATGAGAATGTGGAGTTAGTTTTGCTTTTAGTACCAGATCGCCATAGAAACAAGCCCCTTCGATTGCCGTCCGAGGCAGCCGTGTTCTAAAGGTTTGATCAGCAAACTCTAATAACTGCCGACACCTGGTTATAAAAAAACACGCGGCCGCAATTCACCATTTCGAGGATACTTCCCTGAAATGATGGATAATCAGTCTTTATGAGATAAAAGCTCTTTACGCGTATCCTGTCTTGTGCATATTGGACTCTCGGTTACAATGGTCTCTGAAAATACTGCGGCCCTGCCTCCAAAAGGTTGGTGATTTCCTACATGTAGGATGAGGCTTTCTTCACATCCTTTGACTAACTATTATCCAGTTTGGGCAACTCTGGTGACGAACAATGACTATCTCAAGGGCGTACTGGCACTCAACTACCGTCTGCGATGCGTCAAATCAAAATACCCGCTGCTTGTTCTATACACCAGTACATTATCACAGGCCAGTGTCGATTGTCTGAAGCGTCGGAGTATAGCAACCTTCCAAGTACCAAGATTAGCCCCAACGACCGCAAAGGAGTATACTGATGACCCGCGGTTCAACGAGTGCTGGACAAAGCTGATCTCCTTCTCACTCACGGACTACTCACGAATAGTTCTTCTTGACTCAGATATGCTGCCACTACAGAACATGGATGAGCTCATGGACCTCGACCTCGACCTACCAGCAGTAAGCGGATCTGGAGACGCGGTGAGCAGTAAAAGAGTGTTTGCTGCCTGTCATGCTTGCACTTGTAATCCTTTACGAAAGCCGCACTATCCGTCGAATTGGAAACCCGAGAATTGCGCTTTTACGTCACAGCATGCTTCACCAGAAGTCGCACAAACAACTGGAGCAGATATCTCTACGGGCTTAGGAAAACTCAACAGCGGACTCCTAGTCATCAACCCATCGAAGGCCATTTTCGATCAGGTCGTCACAAAGATGAATGAGGCAGGTCTCGACTACCAGTTCCCGGATCAGGACCTTCTTGCAGATGTCTTCCAAGGTCGCTGGGTGGCGTTGCCATACATCTACAACGCCTTGAAGACGATGCGAGAACCAGCTGTGCACGGAGCCATATGGCGTGATGACAAGGTCAAGAACGTCCATTACATTCTCAGTCCCAAGCCATGGGATGAGCTGGGGCCAGACGGGACATGGAAAGGGGATAAGCCTATCCATAAGTGGTGGATTGACGCGTACAAGTCAATGCGCGCAGAAGAAAAGGCACTGGGGGTCTCTTAAATGCATGTTACTTCACATGTCTGAGCGTTAGGTAGAGCTAATTGAGGTATGAAAACAAAGCCATTGACACATTACAACTCCTGTCATGATATCATTTACATTTTATCTTCTTCAAATTGACCACGGAAAGCTTCGATAGCTTTGATCATGCGCTCCAGACCTATGTGCAGATATGTCTTTTCATGAGCAAACACAATTCGAAACCAGCCCGGTACGTCACTTCCAAAATCAGCCCCAAGCGCCAAAAATATCTTGTGCTCTAAGAAGGTCTCTTGCAGACTCGTCTCGAGAGTCCTCAGTGCTTCCTCAGAACCTTCCTCATGTTCCTTCTGGTTCTGCAAAGTGGCATCGACTTGTGCGCGCAAGGGCTGGAATAGATCAGCCCATACGAACAAGCCAGCATTGGATCCTTCTTTGTAAGGAATCTGATGACTGCCAAGAAACTTAGTTGTCAGTTCGTAGTTCTCTGCTAGCCGTAATCGATTGGTTTTGATGTAGCTCTCAATGAACGCATCATCGGCGAGTACACGAGCGGTAGCAAGGTCGGCTAGAGACGAAGGGCCAGAGAAGTAAGAATTGGCTTCGCAAGCTTGTAGAAAGGCCTTGTTACGACTGATGAGACACCCAATTCTGATACCACAGGAACCAAAGTCCTAGTAAGTTAGTACATATCTCGCGTTTGGGTTGTGATCCGAACCTTGCCCATTCCCCAAAGTACGTGGATTAGGTCTCTATCGATCAAACCATGATGATTGATAGCTAGAATTGAGGTGAAGTCTGGAGCATCAGGCGCGCCCGGGTTCTTCCAGACTGAAAGAGCATATACCTCGTCACTGATGAGGTGCAGGTTATGTTTCTGACAGAATTGCATGTACGCCTTCAGAACCTCGGGAGTATAACATCGGCCTGGTGGATGATTAGAAGGAAAGTTCAATAAGAATAAGCATACACTCACCTAATGGGTTATGAGGGTTGCATAACAGGAACACTCTGACACGAATCCCTTGCTGCTCAGCTTCCTCCAAAGCTTTCTCGTAATAAACGATAGTCTCAATACTGAAGGGATCCGCATCTCCAAACGAGACACCGATAATCTTGGCTCTATTACAGGTTAGATAACTTTAACCTACTACAACCAGTAAGATCAGATCTTGGCTCACTCAACTCTGTAGCCGAGATCAATGGGAAAGTTTCCATAGTGAGGTCGCGCGAGCAAAACGCCATCGCCTTTGTCGCAGAGCGCGAAGCCACTGAGCTCGATTGCCTGACCTACACCCGAGGTGACAATGACTTGATCTTTGATGATGTCTTCGAATGGGCTAAAGTGGCGGTTGATGAATCTTGCAAGGGTATTTCGTAGGCGATGAGAGCCAGTGAAACCGTCGCCAGCTGTCAAAGCATGGCTATCAAGGCTGAACTACTGGATGTCAGTCCCTTTAATACTTTCATCGCCAGTGGCGGCTAAGTACATTCTTAGTGATATGTTCAATCAGTTCCTTGTGCATGAGTGTCTGTCAAGTATCAGCCATCGCATCAGTATGAGCTTTTAGTTCATGTACATTCTCAGCAACGCCAAAACTGATATATCCGTCAGGGTTCGTTTCTGCATGCCATAGATCGTTTACTACATCCAACATTGGCATTTTGCTCGTCGGCGTCGCGAATACCTCGCCTCGCTGTGAGAGGGTTCCGTTTAAAGATGACATGGCCTTGTCAAGACGGGAGTATATAGTAGCGAGGATATGCAACAAAGTGTAGAAGTCCCTGGAATAAGTCACAACTCCCGTACTGGATGATGAATAAAGCAGGTACTGTTAGATCCATCGTACATTCGTTCAAAGGTGATTAAAGTCAATCATGGCGGAATTCCGCCCAGTCCATGTTCTCCAAAGGGCGCGAGATGACATCACGAATAAGCAGCCAAGACTGGTACCTATGTACAGAACTGGCATTCAACCTCATTTTCGAATTTGTTCAATTACTGTTTTTATCAGGGATCACATGACTTGTTTTGGTTCAGATAAGCATGCCGCTGAGTAAATATCACGAACTTGGCGTTGAGATTTGCGGAAGAGTGCAGCATCTCAAGACTCGGCGAACTATAATATCCGATCAGTAACATTATCTATCACTTTCCCAATTATGTTTCTGCCCGATCATGTGATACCTCTCATTTCGGCATTCTAACAGTTTCAGTGCAAGAGGTTGCATGCCGATCATGTTTCATGAGCATCGCACTTATCGACCGGCGACTCGTGGTCGGCCTAGTTCCGTTAAAAAGAGCTCTTTTATCCGAGAAGCCCCTGTTGATATCATTTGGACAAGTCTCTCAGAATAGCTGGACTCAGCGGACACTTGAGATGCTCCCCGGTATCTGAAAGCTTGGTTCGGCAGTCAACGAAATTGCCAAGAGCCAGCTGAAACTATAGCGCACCCGTTATTGACTGCTAAGCCCAATATTTGGCGTTCTCCCAAAATCACGGCTTCCCCTCACTTCAGTCCTCAAGTACCGAAGCCCTGACCCTGTCTCCGACGCATTAGCGCAAATGGTGCGATGTCACATTGGCGGAAGTTCCGGAGTATTTCTTCCAACTTCCGACTCCATCACTAAAAGACACGATGCTACCTTGATGCGTCTGATCGCCTTCAGGGCATTGTTTCTTATTGGGCATTGAGCTTCTTTGGTCGCAGACGCAGGACTAAGCTGAGATGCACGTGGAAAAAGCAAAAACTGAGGTCACTAGAGCAAGAACGGTGTTGACATTGCAGTGTCATATCGTCAGCCTCAGTTTAAGAAGTTCTAGACTCTTTGCTAATGTCAATGCAAAAGTCAATGCGTAGAATGACATTTTGGTGACAGCCGCCCGAAGCTTAAGCGGCCACGGACTGAGGTTTGTGGAACTGAATGGGTCAAATAGTTATGGATGCGTGGGGTTTAAGAGACGAGACATGTCGCCAACAGTGGATATAGGTACGAAAACAGTTTCTTAGGATCTGCAACGGAATGATCCGTGACATTTCTTCAGTGGATTCGGTGCTGGAAACCTGCTTTGGCATCTGTCGTGAGACACCGCGGATCATCCCAGAGTTCACGCTTGAGACGCAGGGGCCCATCCACTAATGTCACCAGAATCATCATGCCCACGTTGCGATTGGTTGAAATGGTTCGTACTATTTGGGTCCAAATGACTCGACATCGCTATTAATTATTTTACTCTACAAGGTATATCCATAACATCGCTTTTTCCAATGACTCCAAATCGTGTACCAGTTTGATCAGTGTTTAGAAACGTGCACCGTCGTCTCATTCTTGACGAGAATGCCACCAAAGTTTGCTCCGAATTCTCCAGTGCCTGGACTTTGACCCGTGACTGTAGATGTGTACTTGTTGCCCGCTGGTCTGAACCGGTCGATGGCGTGGCTCTCAAAGTCTGACACCGAGCCTCGACCGCCACCATCGTCGGAATCGGCGAGTTGGTGCGTTGAGGAGGATTCGTCGTTGGCCGTGGACTTGTTGATGGTGTCGAGACGGATGGATTGCTTGGTTTGGCTGCGGCCGTAGCTGTTGGGGTAACTTCCTGAGCTGGCGCCTGTTCGGGTTCGGGGATGCGTGCAGGTGAAGATGTATGTGCACGCGGGTCGGATCGTGGGCAGTGAAGCTGTACATGTTAGATATTGTTGGGTGCATGGTGGGATTAATGCGTACCGGAAACGTTGATCAGATTGACCTCGACTGTTGCCCAGATGACAATGTCGCAGATATTCCATGTCAAATCGTAGGACTTGTCATCGAAAACTCGAGCAGCTACAATAAGTCGAATAGCAGCGGCGCAAATGCTGAGTCTGTCAGTATATCCATCAATTGACCCAAGGTGAAGGTCACTTACAAGAAGCCAAAGGTAAACATGACCATAATGCCAGCCTTTTGAATCATAGGCAGCTGCAGTTTACCAATCTGCCACATCGGAAGGATCAAGATGGCGATATCAATGGCAGCGTGCACCAGCGTCGTGCCAAAGAAGAACTTCTTATCCTCAATGGCGCAGTATCCGCCTGCATTCGAATCCCAGAACGCATCGACGGGGACGCAGTGAAAGATGCCCATAAAGATCTACCGCCAATTAGCCTAGGAACCTCAATTGATCGTGATGTACATACTCGGAAGATGATCCAGATGATGGCGCATCCGAAGAGAATCTGAATCGGTAGTCGAATGTTGCTGACTCGGAACATGCGCCAGTATAAACTCAGAATCGAGACCTTTGCGAAGAAGAGACCGAAGGCGTAGAAGAGCTCGGCAATGAAGAGCAATAGTTTTCCTTGATATAATGCATCTTCCAACGTGACTTTCCTGATTTCTACGACATCCATAATATGTAGTCCAAGACCACGATTGACCCCTTGGCGGCTGTTAGTATCGTTATCGGTCGTCGGTTGTTATGCGGGAACCTACAGTAGGGAACAATGATGATCCAACCAACAGAAATGGCCTGAAAAATGTCAGCACTCACAACAACTTCACTCGCAGCAGATGAAAAACTTACATATCCGCAAAGAGCAAAGTAATCATCCCATGACAAAGGAATCCTCTTGAGCCGACGACTCAATAACCGAAGGATGGTGATGATGGTCGCAGCAGCAAAAGTGACAAACAGCACGACCCAAAGGTCCGTTTGCTTAGACTCCAGCTTCGCCATGTGGATTAAACCGTCCACGGAGGTAAAGAACAAAAAAGAGCAAACACCTCCGCGAATCAAGGTTTGGAGCTTCTTGCTTACTCCTGCTCACTCAGTTCGTCAAGAACCAGAGGGGGCAGCCCAACCATACAGAGTTTGGAGAGAAAAGAGAGATGACGAGAAGAGCGAAAGGACCAACGCGAACCCGAGAGGATGGATACAATGCGAGAGATATGTATAATTACGCCAGGGTGGGAGGGAAGAGTTCCCCGAAAGGAAACATTTTAATTTATCTATTCGAAACGAACCGGTATGTGGACCTGGGAGCTAAAGGGGAACGCAAGAACCAAGCTACTGTGCCTGGGTAGCTTCGAGCTTGCGATGATCAAGTCCAAGGTCCCCTCGTAAAAAAAAAACTTGGGTGAAATTTAAAGCGCGCTTGTTAACCCTGCCAGGTCTTCCCTTTTCTTCAACGGCGATGATCGTCGCTGGATGAGGTCTAAGGAGTTGAGCTAGCGAACTAGTCGGTTCCACAATGTGACATTCGACGGGTCCACCGGCTTTTTTAGGAGAAGAGCTCGTTCTCCTGTTCTAGGTTTGGTCTTCTCTGTTAGCAGCAGATGGCTTGCAAAGGTTGGCTCTGGGCTCTGCGGGTAATCTCTGGGCGCGCGAAGGATTCCTTCCAGATGAGGTGCATTGTCACATCGTTATTCCCAAGTGTCAGGGCCAAACCTTGTTATTGTTTGACAGTTAATATCGATAGTGGACCGTCTCGCAAAAGTCAATCTGTGGAATTACGAGTAATCTTCACGTGGCATATCAGCATCTTCTGACTCATTTAAACTTTCTTTTGTCACAACCACGCTGGTAGAGTTTAGACGTCAATAAATGAGGCAGACGCTTCTCTGCGCTGGCGCCATAACCCACGCTAAGCATTCAATAGCATCAACACGGGTTCGCTCCCGCATCAGCTCGTAAGGCTAGCAAAATTACAGCATGACCCAGAATCTGCCGCTGTGGCCGCGCGGGGGGAGACGGTAGTTACGCGGGTGTCGTGCCGCAACCAAAAGGCTCCAGTGGATCCCCCTACTAGCCCAGCGGATACAAGACTTCCGGGGGGGGGCAAGTTAGCCTAGCTTCAGGCCCAACTGTAAGGTAGCAATGCGAGGTTTTCCTCTCGGTGAAGATCTCAGAACCCAAGATTGAGGATCCCAAGGGCCTGGTCCGGATAAAGAAAAGGTGAGATCGAGCGTAAAAAGCAAGGACTGAACCCTTGTGAAAGTGTGTCTTGCTTTGGCTGTTGGTTCAGGGTCTTTACTCACCGCGCCAGCGCGTCTAAACAAGGTATCCAATCCCTCTTACCCAATCGCCCCAAATGCACCAATCAGTTATCATTTATTTAATGGAGATAAATATCCCGAATAATCGGGCATGCCAGACTTGGCACAACGGCACTCCCTTATCTTTTCTGCTTCTCAACAAGGCACAAGCCTCCAACGTCGCAGCGGATCTGGGGTCATCTAGTCTCGGAACGGTTTAGACCAGTGGACCAGCCAGTGGGTTATGGCCTAAAAATGATGCTACACTTACCGCTCCGCTCTAATTCTCTTTTACCGAACTTGTACGGCAAACACCGTCTGTGGAGTTTGCCTGGATCCTTCTGCCAGAAGAGGAAGAAAAGCGTCAGGGGCGCAGAAAAATGGGGTCTGTGCTTGAAGTTGCATGATGAAGCTTTATGCAGACAAGATCGTCACCTTCAGGCAAAACCACAGTTTCGCCTTTCAAACTCTGCTAATCACCCTTTCTCACTAAGATATTATCAAGACCCTTAATGTCTTGAATTCAAGAAGCCGTTGAGACTATGGGCGGTATGTGGGCGGGAGCGGGTTATTGCTCCGTATGAGTATAGCTATCGCGAGTCAGAGACAGTCTAGTACTCGAAATGGCGGTATGCCCCGAGACTAAAGGATTTACACCGCGGGCAACGCGTTTCGAATGCCCACAAGCGCAACCAATCGTCTCACAATCAATAGTCATCCTTTCCCCTCATCGGCTCCGCTCCTCATTCGCCTCAAGGGTCCTAACAGTACAAAATTACATTTAATAAATCCAGCCCAGGAACGGCCCGTAGTACAACTTGGCACTTTTAACCTTCTATTACACTTTACTACTGCACAACATATCTACGCCTCAAAAACAGCATATCTCACAATGGCTCCTTCTACTACTACTCCCGATCTCGTCCCCGAGCCTGTCTCTAAGCTTCCCGAGCGACCCAAGGAGGATGGCTCCGCCCTCAACGAGCACGAGCGGTCTGAGCTCGCTTTCGTCGACAAGTACAGCGCCCCCGACGTCTACATCAATGAGAAGAACGATACTCTCTGGTTTCCCTGGATTGGACCCATTGAGCTGAAGCCCCTGCGCATGGAGAACAGGACGGGCACTTTCGTCGTCGGTCTTCGATCAAAGGTCGCTGCCAGCCTGGGCAAGCACCGACACCGTGGTACCGTTACAGCCATTACCATGTCAGGAGAATGGGGCTACAAGGAGTATGTTTTCCCCCCAACCTTGTACAAGATTGAGATGCTAATCTATCGCGATCTAGATACGACTGGGTTGCCCGACCTGGAGATTGGGTTTGCGAGAACCCCGGCGTTATCCACACTTTGTCCGTCGAGGATAACACTGATATCGTGTTTACCATCTCTGGTAGCATTGAGTTCCTCAACGATGATGATAGCTTGAAGTTTACTCTCGATATCTTCAGCTTCGCCAAGTTGTATTATGATCACTGCAAGGAGAAGGGCATCAAGCCCAATGATGCTCTCTGGCATTAAATGGAAATGAATAACGGCTGGGATGGTTACGGCATATAGCTTTGCATGATTTTCGCATGATAGTCTCCATGAATAACAAAAGAGATATGAACAATGAATACTATTGATGATAATGTGTATCCTGGTGCATTGTTCGGGAATGCCGTGTTGTATTGGCTTGGCGATGGCGGTGAGGCCGCTCCTATATGCCGAGGTATATCACCAGACCACGTGATGTCTCATGATCCCTTCTCCCTTCTGTGCCGCAGACTCAAACTGTCTTTAAAACACGGGTGATCATTTCATCAAACGTCTCGTCTTGAACCAAACCAAGCACCTTCATCCAATGAGCCGCTTTGTCTGGGAAGTATGTAACAGGCGCATCACTGTAGACCGTCGCAGTAGCCAGCTCATAGTACCCTCTGCCCCAATTGCCTTCTTCGATATGCTTTGTTGCGCGAGCGTATAGGTCCTTGTTATCCAAGTTCTCGAGCTGAAACTTGGTGCCTGAGATTCTCTCGAGAGCCTCGATGACTTGGTTCTGAGAAGTATGGTAGGATGCGACGTGAACGTATTCGTTCTTAGTCTCCTCGGAATGGAGGAGTGCAGCAGCTGTAGCTTCGCCGACTTGTGATGCGGTCGTAGTGGTGAACTTTGGTTCGCCTGAGTCGACAAGCTCACCAGTCTTAGTCCCGAGGTCTAGGCAAAGCAATCCTTTGCCCTCAACCAGCATCTAACGTCTTCAGTCAGAGCATCACTTTCCTCTATCAGTTCAAAAGACTTACCCAGTCAATCCAAGGGCCAGTGAAAATCGCCGTCCAGGACAGCCCGTCTGTTTCTTTAGACTTGACATAGTCCATAACATCCTGCTTTCCCTTGAGGAAAGGCGCCATCTTCTCCAGACCATCGACTGAGGTGTCGCTTCCAAACTCGCTTGGCATGAATCGCTTGACCTTTGCAGCTGCAACGGCGTCAATAACGATCTTTTGCTCTGCGATATTGGCGGTCGAAAGGGTAGAGATGACAGCATCTTGTCCAGTAAAGACGTCAACAAGAGACGATAAAGTGTAGTCGGACTTGGCAATCGCAGCATCCAAAAATGTTGAGTCTGTAACGTTGGATGAAGTGCGGCTAAGAACAGAAACGTTAAAGCCTGCTTTAACAAGTGCTCTGATGAGATATGGTCCGAGATTTCCGCGACCCTGTTGTCTTTATCAGCCCGATAATTCGATACCTCGATGAGGATGTAAGAAGAGAAACTCACTCCGAGGACCATGACGTTCTTGATCTCAGCAGACATGGTGAAGGTAGGTATATAATAAAAGATGCAGGGTAAGTGGATCTTAGAGTTGCAAATGAGATCAATTGTGTTTGGTGATATCGTTACATGACTGGAAATGTCTGGACTACTTATGGACTCTCAGTTCAGTATAAGATTTACTCAAACGCAAGTGATTTCTCAGCATCGAGGCATTTCATCATTATCATGGCCTCAATCCAAGCTCGTCTCGTCGTAAAGATGGTGGAGTCTAAGCCTCTTTTAAGCAGCGGGTGGAAACTAAACTCTTTTGAACTTCGAGGTGGAGACTAGTCCTTTTTTGGAACATGCATATCTGCCGCTGATGATTAGTCAAGCATCGTTCGTTCGAGTATTCCCGCATCAAAGAAACATTCTCTTCTCATCCGTAGTCATCGGTTATTAAACACAAAGGCCAATACAGGATGGGATTCTTACAGAGATCGTGCCAAGCCTGCGTCAAAGCCCGACGTCGATGCAATCTCGCCAGTCCCTGTTGCGAGAGATGCTCCACCAAGCGTATTCCCTGTCGGTACACCAATGAGCCAGCTCCTGCAGCCATGCCTATCCACGAAAAGACGCTCAAAAGCATCGTTAAATCTCGAAAGATAAAGGAAGAAGGGATCCCGCAGAGCTTATCGCGTTTAATGGTCCATGGTGTCCTGGATACAAGGCTACAGCTCTTCATTCGACAAGTCCTCTCTAATGATTACTATGACGGTTCTCGACTTCCTCTGGCAGAATCAGACCTGGCGAGGTTAAACGATTTTAGTGTCATGAGCACGCCGATGAACAACGCTCTCCAAATCTTTAATCCATTGCATCTCGAAGTTGTGCGGGTGATTGATCAGCCGACACTCCATCATCTATCTGATATCCTTCGAAGCTTACCAGGCCAGTTTGCTGAGCATGGCAAGACCTCCTTCATTCACTCTGCACTATACAATCCCTCACTACCACTACCAATCAAAGAAGTTAGCGATGTTTGCTACAGCTATCACATCGGCGGCGAATACCTGGCGAGCAGCCGCCTGAATGCCCTCCGCCTCACAATCAGACGCCTCCTTCGCCTTTCGAAACGCACAGCCTCTTTCGCAGACACACTGGCATACGCACAAGCAATAAGCCTCGCCCAAATCATCCGTCTCCTGGAGTGTCACGACACAAACGAAGATGACATTGAACGTGACAATGAAGAAATGTGGGCTCTTACCCATCAACTATGGCAGCATGCACCAACTCAACTACCAAGCTCGCTAAGTCAGTGGAAAGCATGGTTATTCTCTGAGAATGTGCGAAGGACTATAATTGTTTGCAACATTCTCTTAGCAGTGTATAGTTCGCTGAAGAGGGGATATACGATGCATTCACTTTGCGTGGAGGCTCTGCCGTTTGATGTGCGGACAAAGCTTTGGGATGCGGATAGTGAGAGTGCTTGGGAGGCTGCTGCGTGGAAAGTGCCGGGGCCTCATTTGTTGACGCTGAGTCAATTCACAGAGCTTCAACGGCCGGAGGGTGGTGGTTCACGGTTCGAAGATCTTCTCCTGTTGTCGTTTAGGAGATGAAGGGTAGTCATGAGTTCACTGGCTGATAATACCTAGGTAGCGAGAAGAGCTTCGAAGTTGGGGCAAATACTAGCATCATGGAACTTTTGTGATGCACATAAAGCTTTTTGAATCAAATAATATTCATTTTTGCTATTGTTTTCTTCCGTGACTAGCAAAATCGTAAATAATCCTCATCATTCATAAACCATCCGCTTTGTCACTATGCTGTCCTCGACATCGCCAAGACGTTTAGCAAGTGCACTTGGCCAGGCAGAGAAGAGGGATGTTGGGGTCAGTCTCGCATTTGCCTTGGAAGGCACAGGTTCCGCCAGCGCATTCAGACTTGCAGGGCTCAAGAGTCTTTGGGTCGGAGTAGAACAGGCCGCCGTTGTTACAGGACCTTCGAAAGTGTTAGCTATGAGACCTGTTGCGTATTGAAGAGAACGTACGACTGAGGGGCCGCGATGGCGACGGTGGCGATAGCCAGGATGCTGAAGATGGAGAACTGCATTTTGAGGTTGTTGAAAAGATAGAGGGCCTTCGGGTCGTCGGCAGCTTTTATATAATGATCGTTGCTATATGACTTGTCAATTACTAGGATCGAATCCTTTAGCTGACCACATTCCTATTTCTATCCAGCCGATGTTGCAAATGGATTTATACAACCTAAATCTCACCACATGCATGGATTGAAGGATTTACCTGCCGATTGTGGCCTAGAGTCGCCTGAAGACTGGGGACATTTGCAGGTCTCTGACCACGACTGTAGTATATGTTTAAAGTGATGCTACGAGGCTATGCAATAGCCCTCGGCCATAATATTCCGATGGGATCCACATGGATTCTTACCGCCGAAGGATCTACTCCCGTACCTCTCGGGTCCTGATCCGGGGCCCGTCCCGCTTTCTATACGAGATGCGCTTGAGCATACGACGCTGAGTGAGATCCATTGGCTGAAGTCGGTGATTATATGAGAAGGATCTCGGCCCTTGAGTCAAAACGGTCTGAGCTTTCAATCCCATATGAGTCAGCAACATTGACCTGGCTTGCTTGTGTAAATGTCCTTCGAGGCCAGAAGCAGAGTTATGCTTGATGACATCATGGCTCTGCAGACTCCTCAACTGCGACTTCACAAGACAACAAGAGAGTAATCAGCAACTGCAGCCAGAAGAGACAATTGAGACTTAGCGCCAAACTTCACTTATAAGTCGATTGACTCATACTGGTTGCGATAAAAGACGTTATCATGCCGGTGACACTCCCGGTCTCTAGCCTAGACCGGCCCGAGTCTTCGGAACCGGCCCCTCGGAGCCGATGATGAAGCTTTAAACAGCGCCCTCTCAATCCAATCTCACTTATCTCCCCCTCTTTGATACCATCCTCTTCTCACTTACCACCGCCACAATGTCTTCAGCATCATATCTAATCGAAAAGCCAGTCCGCAGCGACTACGAAGAATGGTCCAAATTATTCCGCGCCTACATTGACTTCTACAAATCCAAGATTGACGAGGATCAATACGCGCGAACTTTCGACCGCATCATCGAAGAGAAGAATGGACTGCAAGCGCTGGTCGTTCGACAAGTTCGAGGAGAGGAGAAGAAATTGGTTGGGATAGCGCATTTCTTTCCGGAGCAGACGCCTTGGAGCGAGAAGGAGATTCTTTTACTCAACGGTAAGTAGAGAGAGTTTACGTGAGTTGTGAGGAGCGGTGTTGACTTGATAGACTTGTTCATCGATCCTGAAGTTCGTGGGGAGGGTCTTGGGAGAAAGTTGACGCAGGCTGTTGCAGATGTCGGGAGAGAGAAGGGTTTCATGAGGGTGCAGTGGGTTACCAAGCATGATAATACAGCGGCACGCAAGCTTTATGATACTCTGGCTGAGAGTCAATTTGTTCAGTATAGAATGGCCTTGTAATAAACCGAACCACATCTAGTACGATATTGACCTTTCTACCGCTACATATTACATGAAATGATCGTGACACTACTCAGCTTCGGCCATAACCCTGGGTAAAATCTCTCGCATGATCTTCCCTTTCCCTTTGTACTCCTTCCCAATCTCTGCATCACGCCAAAATCCTGATTCGGTGATGGATCCACGCATGATGTAGTGAGGAATGTGTTCCAAATCCTCTGGTTTGATAGACGATTGCCTGACAACATTACCCATCTTGTCTCGAAACACGAGAAGCATTTCTTCGTCCTCAAATGACTCTCGATCAAGCACCAGTAACCAGCAGCCCGAAACTGCAGCATGGGCTATAGCATCCTCATAGTCGTCCTCCTCGGGTTCTCGTGAAGTGACGACGGCTGAGACTTCTTCTTTGACCTCTGCTACATCTCCATCACTGAAGGTACGGCAGACCTCTGAGGAGGCGAGTTCCGGAAATCTGTTGTATATGCTTTCCCAGTCCTGATCACCAGTATCGAAGAGCGAAGCGTCGTCAAGGATGCGCCACCAGTGATCTTCGGAATCTCCGAATAGATCGCCTAGGGGATTATCTTCTGCAAAAGCAGTTGCTGCGTCGTAAACCCAGTGACGAAACTTTACATCGTCACTGACTCCACCATAGTGTGTACGCAAGACAACCAACTTGCCGTATAAGTCGTTACCAGGCAGGTATTTCTCTGCTATGCGACGAAGGTGTTGTGATCGCCACGGAGCAATGGCTGTCTGGATCAATTCTTGTACGTGATTTGAGGTGGCATCCAGAGTTGAAGATACAAAACCTGAGACGTCATCCTCGTGGAGAAAGGCTTGAATCAACCGATCTCGCTGTTGACATACGGATAGGGTTGAAGTTGAGTCCCATTTTTTCTGGTCAAGGTGGTAAGCAGGGCGTAGGGTTATACAGAAATAAAACTTACAAGCAGGTACTGCTCAATGGCTAATGATCCCCACCGTGGATAGATATTCTCCTCAAATTGACTCATAGCTTTGAAGCTAGTCTTGAGTTCCGGGTTGATGTGACTGAGATTTCTGCTAGGCAACACTTGGTGAGAATTTAGCTTATATCGTTACGTGATCACATCTTAGTGGGGCAAGACAAGGTACTAAAGGACGAGTTCATAAGGGAACACTCCATATGGGGCGAAACCGATGGTATCAAGTGACACATCGACCAGTAAATGTCAATCATCGGGTTATTAAAACAATGTACCTACGAGGTATATCATGCGCTAAAGATATCCATGACCTGTAGAAGCTCTTCCCATCGTCCATCTCGTTCAATCGCAATTGTTCCTTGCGGTTGCATGACTTTATACTCTGTAGTCAGCTCAGTACCATACATATACCCCTCTTCGTCATTAACGAAAGCCCTGAGATCCCTTATCCATGCATCCATAAGGTCTCTCTCCGCGGGCGTTGGCCCATGAGTAATAGAGTAACTGCACTATGTTAGCAAGTCTGCAGTATGGTGATCTGGGTAGAGGCTCATGACTTACTTCCATATAGGCCTATCCATAGCATGGCTCACACCAAAAGAGGCTGGAGCAACGTCATTCGTTATGAACGACAAGCGATATGCGATGAGATATCTCCAAACACTCTTGATGTCAACGCCATTGCGCACCAGATTATCGACGAGGTATCGCGATGGAGCTCTGACTTGGCCATCGGCAATGATGCGTCCAAAGATCTGCTGCCAGGCTTTCTTGTCTTTGGTCTGTGGAAGGGAATAATGCTTGAGGAGACGGTCGGTGACGTGGGGAGGGTAATAGTTGGATATTTGCATCTGAAGGGATGAGATGTTGGGATCAGGAGGGTTTGTGACGGCGTAGAGGGTATCTTCATCAAGGACTTCGCCGATGAAGAGCTTGAGTCCACGTTTCTTGAACTCACGCGCAAATGACCCGTCACGATAGTAGTCGAAGATACCCGAGTGAATGAACAGATCATCCGTGACGGGACGGAAGGTATGGTTCTTCAGCTCCATGATCGCGGCAGAGAGATCATCGGCGCTGATACTTCGCAGGTTGCACAGTCTCTCTGCGCCACTGATGTCCGCTGGTATACCGAAGTACTCGCAGAGCTCATCGAACTGCTCCTCGCAGTCTTGAACAGTCTTGGGCTGTGTCGGAATAGCATTGGAGTACATGATCATTCTTGTAAAATGACTGTGCGACTCTTTGCCTCGGAAGTCATAGAGTGCTTGTGCAAGAACAGAGTAAGCTCCTGCACTTCGTCCAGCCAGTATGATGTTTTCAGGATCGCCTCCAAAGGCAGCGATATTCTCGTATACCCAGTCCATAGCGAGACGCTGATCCCAAAGACCATAGTTTCCGACAGCCTCGCCACTGGACTCTTCCAAGAGAGACTTGCCAGCAAGAAAGCCAAAGACGTTGAGTCTATAACCAACGGCTACAAACACAGCTTGTAATCCGCCAGTTGATATGAGCTCAGAAGGATCCATACTCTCTTCCTGACTTGGATCTCCAACCTGGAACCAACCGCCATGGAACCAGACCATAACAGGCCATTTATTATCCGGCTCGTTCGGATCAGGCACAGGCGTCCAGATATTGAGTCTTAGACAGTCCTCGCTGTATGCATGTTTGGGGATATGCTCGCTAACGTTCTTGGAGTAATTCGCCTGGGGACAGACAGGTCCAAAATGCGTCGCATCAAAAGGCGAACCATCTAAAGATTCATATTGATGTGTTTTTGGGAAAGGCTGAGGTTTTCGCCATCGTAGATTTCCGACGGGAGGTTGAGCGTATGGAACGCCTGCGAAGCGACGGGACTTGGAATCGAACTGAAGACCTTTGAGAGATCCATTATTTGGGAGGTTGACGTGACACTCTGAAGTGGTGTAAGAGATTGAATTGCCCATTTTGACGATAAGAATTAGTTTGGAGATAGAAAAGAGGAAACTGCAGAATACAAGATAAGAAGGGAATGAAAGAGACTCAATAAATTGTTCGTTATTGCATTCATATCTCGTCGTATCGCAGTTCGATTGTGACCTGTTGATGATTGGCTGGTTTAATCGACCACATATCAGCTGCGAGAGGCGGGGACGATCCTGGCGTCGCGTCCTTTCAGATTAACGACCCAAAAAGAAAGGGTCAAAGCAATCGATCAATCGATCAATCAGTCCAATTCCATTTCCACTGACTTGACAAGGAGCTTCTCATCCGGTCCCCCCAAACAGATCCCCCCCCCAGTCACATGGAGAATGCATCCAGTTCATCCAGCCAACCTCAACCCCAGAAGCGTAAACGCGTAGAACGCGGCCGCTCTAAAAACGGTGAGTCTGCTACCCCCCGGAAAAACCGGAAGTGGTCCCTATTGACCCAGTCTAGGCTGCTTGACGTGTCTGACTAAAAAGGTCAAATGCGATGAGACGAGGCCGCAGTGTAATCGCTGTGTGAGGCTGAGGCTCGAGTGTAGATGGGCGACGCAGATGCAGCCGCTGGCGGAGAGGAGGAGAGGCTTGGGGCCGATTAAACAGAGGGAGAAGTGGACGCCGCAGACGATTGTGCCAAAGACTGATGATGCTGTCAGTGAGGGCTCGCAGAGTGTCACGCCGCCTGCTTTGACGCCTGCTGGGGAATTGCAATTGCCTGAGGGATTGCCTGCGGATATGTCGTTTGATGTTCTACCCGTGGAGAATGAAGCAGCATCTGCATCACCAACGAACTTCCCAGACATACCACCAGAAGACATGATCAACCCCATCACTATCCCTCAATACCCCCACGACTCATCACAGCTCATTCTATACCCAACACCCTCCTTCGATCTCCTCTCCCTCTTTCCCTCATTCTCCTTCACAAACCCAACCGAGCCCGCTCCTTCAATCGGGAGCGACGACGTCCAAGCCATGACATTCCACTCCACCGTCCTCGCACCCATGAAATCGACACGCAAAGCCGCTCTATCAGCACACTCCATCTTCCTCAACTTTGCCGTCCAGAATCCCATGGCGTTGCATTTCCTTCTCGCCTTTTCACACAGCGAACTTGCTATCCATCATGGTTTCAGTCATAGACCGCCTTTGGAGTCGTATTTGCATTTTCAGAACGGGTCGCAGCTTTTAAGCCAGGCGCTTGTGACACTATCGCCTACGAACCATATCGCGATGATGTTGTCGTTTTTGTATCTTTATATGTTTTGGATGAGGAGAGATCCGTTGGAGGTGGAGAGATTGCGCGAGTTGAGTACCTCGATTCTTGCGTATGTTACGACGTTTTCGCTAGATGAGGTTTGTGCCAATTCAGGTGGGAATACGGGGACGTCGGAACCTGTTACGCTATCGCGGATCTTGACGTATATTTATGATCGCGATGTATTCTGTGGTTTCTTTGGCTGCGGCGCTGCTTTTGCGGGTTATGTTAGCCAGAAGCATGAGACGAGGCAGCGAATATGGCTTCTGTCACGAATGCCGATATTGCCAGACCAGAATGAGACGTGGTTCAGGTCTGAGAGTTTGCCGGAGACGAGTCAAAGAAAGATTCTAGATGTCTACTTCAGTTTAATTACGATACAATACGAGATAAACGTGTATAGCCAGAGTAGTGAGCTGGCTATACTTGGGAAGGGACTGGAGATTAGGAACAAGCTGGACAAGATACGAGAGGTAAGTTGACAGTGATCTGTGAGACCGCCATGAACTGACGTCGTGCAGGAGCAGAACTTTCTCTTCACCTTATCAAAAGACTGCGCCCAACAGTCTACTCAACCGCCACTCATGGCCCTCGTAGCTGTAACTATCTTCCACGCCCTCGAAATTTACCTGCACCGCAGCCGCGACACATTCTTCGGCGAGACACCAGTCCCAGCTGATATCGAGCGAGCCCTCCAGGAACTAGTCTCAGCAGCATACCACACCATCCCCGTGGGACCAGTGCAGCTCCTAGAGCGGTTCCAATGGGCTCTTCTGATCGGGGGAATCGAAACACATGACCCTGTATACCGAGATTGGATCTCGGCGAGTATTTCAGACCCCGTTATCAAGGGCGTTTACAATCTCGTGGTATCGGCTAAGACACTGTCGGCTAAGGGAATATCGATGGAGGCGGTTCGCGAGTTAGTTAGCAAGCAGAGCACAGCATCATGAATTGATAGCTCAGCCCTCCATCTTCAGTATCTCCTCGATAAATCGAGCGGCTTATCTCGTCGATTAATCTGACCACTCACGGATCGCGCCACAAATCCGGGGTAGACAAGCAAGGGACCCCAGATTTTGGAGCCGAATTTGATAAGAGAATAAGGCTAGCGTGGGTGTGATAAGGAGAGAATATAACTGGGCCCTGCGCCCCAACACTGACTCAAAACCATCAACGCTTTGAGTTTTAACCTTCTTCTTTTCTCACTCCTGCAACGTAACATTATTCATCATGGAGGGTAAAGAAATGAAAGAGTCGACGCCTTCGTATGAGATGGATGTTGATGCGCGGGGAACTGTTGATACGCTGTCGGCGGAGGAGGAGAAGAAGCTTGTGAGGAAGATTGATATGAGGTATGTGCTTTGAAGAAGTGACAGGTGTTCAAAGCTAATTTGGTAGACTTATGCCGTTGCTTATTATTAGCTATGGATTGCAGTATTTGGACAGTAAGTTTACCGTATCAATTGATATGCGGGCATTGACTTTATACAGAGACAAGTTTGGCGTATAGCGCTATTCTTGGCCTAAGAGAGGATCTGGTACGTAATAACCATGCTGAAGACAAGCACATACTAACAAGCAAAGCAACTCGTCGGCCAACAGTTCAGCTGGGCGTCTAGTATTTTCTACATAGGCTACCTCGTAGCTTCGTACCCCATCTCCCTCGGCTTCGTCAAATTCCCTCTCGGCAAATATCTGAGCGTTCTCATGTTCATCTGGGGCGTTATTCTTACTCTTCACGCTGTTGCACATAATTACGCTAGTCTCATGGTTCTCCGCTTCTTTCTCGGTGTGTTTGAGAGTGCGATCAGTCCGGGCTTTTCGCTTATCACGGGAATGTGGTATACGCCGCATGAGCATGTATCGCGCCATTCGTTCTGGTTTGCGGGCAATGCGTCGGCGAGTATGGTTGGTGCTATGATTGCGTATGGGATTCTGAGCTACCATGGCCCTATTGAACAGTGGAAGGTGAGTCTGACTTTTTACTTAAAGATTTGATTACTGATTTGTGCAGATGCTCTTCCTTATCTTTGGCCTTATCACCATTGCTTGGTCCGTCTTGACATTCTTCTTCCTGCCTGATTCTCCTGCGACCGCTGGGTTCTTGTCAACTTCCGAGCGAGAGTTTGCGGCTCTTCGACCTAAGAAGTTCCAGAGAACTACTCAGACCAAGAAGTGGGACCGCGATCAGTTCATCGAGACTATGAAGGACGTCAAGGCTTGGTGGTTCTTTTTCTTCTCTTTCATCATCTGTATTCCCAATGGTGGAACCACCAGCGTAAGTATTCCTTCTCCAATCCTGATAGCACGATACTGATCATTGTGACAACAGTTCAGCACCATTGTCATCAAGAGCTTCGGTTACGATGAGAAGCAGACTATCCTCATGGGTCTCCCTGCATCAGCCTTCCAACTCACAACCGTCATCCTCGTCGCTGTCTTCACAACATACGTCCGCAAGTCCCGACACATTGCTCTTGTTCTGACGTACTTGATGGCCATTGCTGGTATTCTTATGATCAAGCTCCTCCCTACGGCTGAGAAACTCTCGCGACTGGCAGGCTTCTGGCTCATCATGGCGGTTGCACCAGCATTCCCTCTCATGCTGTCACTGTCTGCTAGTAATATCGCTGGCTTCACTAAAAAGTCAACCGTCATGGCCATGATCTTCCTGGGATATTGTGCTGGAAACCTGAGTGGACCTCAGTTCTTTATCAGCACTGAGGCGCCCGGCTACCATGTGAGTAACACCTTGGCTCAGTATGTGTCATGTCACTAACTTCTATAGACTGCTTACACCACTATCATGGTCTGCTATGCCATCACCATTGCTCTTGTGGTGGGCATTTACTTCTACCTCACCTGGGAGAACCGCCGTCGCGATAATGAGCAGGGTGTCAAGAGAGATCCCGAGGAGTCTCGACAGGTCGACCTTACTGAGGACGGAACGCTTCTTCAAGTCGACGAGACTGATATGCAGAACAAGAACTTCAGATACATCCTGTAAGGCGAGGATGAATGTAGTTTTGGTCTTTAGGTCTTGACCTGGTAGGTTTTGCAAATTGTTATATACTGAGCCAGTAGTTAGTTGCTATTACGAATGGGAAACATATTATTTAAGCTACCGTCCCATTCATTCGAAGACACCCAGCTACTTCAATGATCTGAGAGAAGGATGGAAAATGCCTCAAAGAATGGTCTCACAGATGAAAAGGAGGGTGGCATGCACAATGAAGTGTTGTTAAATGCAGTCTATCCTGAGCTATAGTATAATAAAGAAACCCGCAACGCTATGCTATAACAACGAAGAATATCACCCAATTCACCAATCTACCCAAAAACCTCCAAGATCAATCGCTCCTTGCTGACCTCTTCTCTCCAAGTCTTCCAATCACTCGCCCTGGTTGTATTCAACCTTCTATCCTCGCTATGAAGGATAGGACCCAAGACATCAAACACATCATCAGATACCTTCTTACCGCTGCAAATTATCACAATAGCGCCCTGCCCCCAAAGTCGCGCCAGGGTATCAGAATGCTTAGCGACCAGATGCTGAACATATTTGTACGGCGAGTCCCAATCTCGACTGAAGGCGCGATGGATTGATACGACGCCTGCGCGGGAGTACTCATCTAGTGTATCGCGGCAGATGTTATCCATCTTGGCGCCGCGACATCCAAAGAAGAGTGTGCATGGGCTGTTTGACAATTGGCCCGAGTTCTGAGTCTGCAGGTATCGCTTCTGCATGAATCCTAAGAAGGGAGCGAGACCAGCGCCAACAGCGATCATGATGATAGGAACGTTGAGCTCAGTGGTCATCGCAGTGCGAAGCTCAGGTCTACAAGGTCGAGGCTCAACGAGAATAAAGTCACCGGGTCGGAGCTGGGCCATGTAGTTTGTAGCTAGACCGCCTGGGCGGGCAAGTGATGATCCACTAGCCTCAGTGGCTTCAACGACGGAGAAGAGAAGCGAGCCGTGGCCGGCCTTCCACTCTGGTGTTGAGGCAAAGGAGTATGTGCGGGGACGCATCTGGGGAAGCATGGAGAGGAAGGTTGACAGAGGCATGTTGATGACAGGATATTTGCGGAGGATGTCAAGGATGGACATGCGTTGTTGGTCAATCTCGGCGTCATACCTATCACCAGCGAGACTCTGGATCTCAGCCTTAGTCTCATCATTACCTGCAAAGTCCACCAGCCTCTTGAGACTTGTACGGCTAACCGTCTGGGACAGCTCAACAAGAGTACTGAAGAGGTTAGAAGCAAGGATGGGAGTGCCAGTGGGAAGGAAAGTTGGTCGTTGCGACGACACAGTCAAGACAGTATCATCATCAACACCAAAGCAAGTCATGACCCGATCAACAAGCTGAGGGGGATTCTTGGGAAGAACCAAGACATGATCACCGGGAGTGTAAGCCATATCCTTCGGTAGCTTCAGAAGTAGACTGTGCTTGCAAGGAACACCAGGGCTGGTAAGAAGAGTGTTCTCCACGACCTCAGCCCTCTTGAAGTTGCCTCCGATATCATTCCGCTGGGACTGGTTGATAGTGACGCTCAGTTCGAGAGAGTCAGGCGCGTGATCAAGAGTGATACCGTGTCGGCTGGCGAGTTCGGGGAAGAGCTTGCTGTGTGCCCAGTCGTCGAAGTCGGGGTATAAGCGACCGGTGCTAGCATCGGTGAGACCAATGTCGACAAGGCGGTCGGCGCCGGCGTCTGCCAAACACTTGTCGAGGACCTTGGGGATGCGATACAAGGTTGATACCCAGTCCTTGTGGCCTGCGAAGCGTCAGATGGAGGCGAGGAATGAAGGAATGAATGAGACTTACCGCATCCGAAAACAGCAAACTGAATGCCGCCCAACTCCCCAAGCTGCAGCGCCTCAGCCCACTTGGTAAACCCAGTAGCATTATCAGAAGGCTTTCCATCATACGAGGCGGCCAAGATGATATTCGGCCCATCCTTGGACAGATTCCTCGTGGCCTCATCAAGCGGCAAAGGCTTCGAAGGCATGAATCCGAATGTCGCACAATCAGCCGACAGCCGCTCCGCCAATGCCTCACATGTTCCAGTGTTTGATCCATAAAAGATAGAAATGGGCTTCAGATCTTTCTGTGAAATGTTGAGGTTCTTTCGGCTGGAAAGACTAGGCTGCTTGGAACTAGCGAGACTGGGGTTCTTAAAGAGGTTTGTCAAGTCGCGTCCCTCTCGGAGCTTGACCTTCATGTTGAAACCGTCGGGCTTAATGGTGAGCGACTGCTTGATCTTCAGCTTGTAGTTGGGATCGGCCTTGACCATGTCAAAGTTCTGGAGGAGCATGATTGTAACCTGCGAAGAACATTAGCTAGTGATGCACAAATAAGAAGTGTTACTTACGATTTGAGCTTCTTGCCATGCAAATTCTCGACCGATGCAGCCTCGGATACCATTACCGAAAGGCTTCCAAGCGTTCTTGGGGAGTTTGTTAAAGTGCTCGTCTGCCATCCTCTCGGGTCTGAACTCTTCAGCATTAGGGCCCCAAACTTGGGGATCGCGATGGATCATGTGGAGGAAGAGGAACAGGGGATCGCCTGCGGAGACATTGTATTGACCGCCGATGACTTCGTCTTTGAAGGGTGTGACGTAGAAGCCTGGTGCAGTGGGCATGAGACGAAGAGTCTCGCGGAAGATCATGTTGATGTAGGGCATCTTGGGGAGATGGTCGGCAGTGAGGTTCTCGTCGCCCAACACCTCGTCAACCTCCTCACGAGCCTTCTGTAGCTTCTCGGGGTTCTCGAGGAGGTAGTAGAATGCAAACGACAAGAGGCCAGAGGTAGTCTCGTGGCCCGCGATGAGGAAAGTGATGAGGTTATCGACGATGTTCCCATCGCTCATACCCATTCCCGTCTTGGGATCTTTGCCATTCATCATGGCATTAAGAAGATCCTTGCCCTCGACAGGATTCTTTCGTCGCTGGCCGAGGATATCCTGGCATGTAGTCTTCATCACAGCAGCGTGCTTCTTGAAATGGGCTTGGGCCCGTAGTCGAAATGATTGCACCACGTCGGGAAGCGTGGATTGTTTGTCAGCGTCGACGAGAGCTGCGACCATGCT